TAGGTTCTAGGGGGCGCCAAAGATAACCCTAAGATCCACATATTTAAAAGTCTTATAACTTTTTATTTTTGCCCTCACTGGCCTCCAAGTTTTCTAGGATGATGCAATGTCCAGCCATCAACACATTTGTGAAGGAATTTTTACTCCCCAAAAGAGCGCCCCCCATGGCAGGAGAAAAAAGTCCATTTTTTCTTGTCCCCTAAGGTGAAAATACACATTGTTGAGTGTAACACCTGTACGCTTTGGCAAAATGACACAAAAATTGACACACACATGTATCTCAATAAGATCTACGAAAAAGTCAATGCGCGCGTATCTGTCAAATGTACGGTTAAAGGGTTATTCCGCATTTTTTGCCGATCCGCACACATTGGAATTTCGCTAACTCCTCCGAAGGCTTTCGTTCCACCGGCACCACATTTGCTCAGGCCAATCTACACCCAATGGCCATTAAAAGTTATTCAAATCATGACGCTGCACCCCACGGTTTAGGTTCTAGGGGGCGCCAAAGATAACCGTAAAATCCACATATTTAAAAGTCTTATAACTTTTTATTTTTGTCCTCACTGGCCTCCATGTTTTCTAGGATGATGCAATGTCCAGCCATCAACACATTTGTGAAGGAGTTTTTTCTCGTTAAAAGAGCGCCCCCCCATGGCAGGAGAATAAAGTCAAGTTTTTCCTGTTCATCATTCAATGGCTCAAACGCACTGCTCTCTCGGCAAAAGCGAAAGGAGGAGCAACTTGCCATTTGGATATATCTTAGCTGTGTTTGTGCCCTCACTCATGGTCCAGACTTTTTTCAAATAGGACATGGAGTTTTTCTGCAGCGAGTGTTTTGGTAGAAACTGCGCCTCCCGTTCATTATAATGGTAAATGACCACAAACAAGTGCGCACACCATCTTTGGACCTTGAGTGTGACGCGATCGGGTGGGGGAGGCGGTCGCGCTGGGGGCGGCGTGACACGGCTCGGGCCCGCCAGTGCCCCAACGGGGCCCTAGTTCTTTCTTTCTTTCTTTCTTCTTATTTTTCCTCCCCTTTGAAGGGGAAAATGGCCCACTTCCCACTGGCGAAAACTCATGACATTTGGCAGGATGACCGGGCCTGGTGAAAAATTCGATATTCTGAAGACGCCCAAACAATAAAATGCAAAATGGCTCCATAGCGCCCCCTAAGGTGGAAATTCACACTATTGACTGTCACGCCTGTACGCTTTGTCATATTGACACAAAAATTGACACACACATGTATCTCAATACGATCTACAAAAAAGTCAGTGTGGGCGTATCTGTCAAATGTACGGTTAAAGGGTTATTTCGCATTTTTTGCCGATCCGCACACATTGGAATTTCGCTAACTCCTCCGAAGGCTTTCGTTCCACCGGCACCAAATTTGCTCAGGCCAATCTACACCCCATGGCCATTAAGAGTTGTACAAATCATGACGCTGCACCCCACGGTTTAGGTTCTAGGGGGCGCCAAAGATAACCCAAAAATCCACATTCTTAAAAGTCTTATAACTTTTTATTTTTGTCCTCACTGGCCTCCAAGTTCTCTAGGATGATGCAATGTCCAGCAATTAACACATTTGTGAAGGAATTTTTACTCGCCAAAAGAGCGCCCCCCCATGGCAGGAGAAAAAAGTCCATTTTTTTCTTGTCCCCTAAGGCGAAAATACACATTGTTGAGTGTGACACCTGTACGCTTTGTCATATTGACACAAAATTTGACAATCACGTGTATCTCAATAAGATCTACGAAAAAGTCAATGCACGCGTATCTGTAAAATGTACGGTTAAAGGGCTATTTTGCATTTTTTGCCGATTCGCACACATTGGAACGTGGCTAACTCCTCCTAAGGCTTTCGTCCCACTGACACCAAATTTGCTCAGGCCAATCTACACCCCATGGCCATTCAAAGTTGTAAAAATCATGACGCTGCACCCCACGGTTTACGTTCTAGGGGGCGCCAAAGAGGACCCAAATATCCACATTTTTAAAAGTCTTATAACTTTATTTTTGTCCTCACTGGCCTCCAAGTTTTCTAGGATGATGCAATGTTCAGTCATCAACACATTTGTGAAGGAATTTTTTCTCCCCAAAAGAGCGCCCCCCCATGGCAGGAGAAAAAGTCAAGTTTTTCCTGCCCATCGCTCAATGGCTCAAACGCATCGCTCTCTCGGCAAAACCGAAAGGAGGAGCACCTTGCCATTTGGATATATACTAGCTGTGTTTGTGCCCTCACTCATGGTCCAGACTTTTTTCAAAAAGGACATGGAGTTTGTCTGCAGCGAGCGTTTTGGTAGAAACTGCGCCTCCCATTCATTATAATGGTAAATGACCACAGACAAGTGCGCACACCATCTTTGGACCTTGAGTGTGACGCCATCGGGAGGGGTAGGCGGTCGCGCTGGGGGCGGCGCGACACGGCTCGGGCCCGCCAGTGCCCCAACGGGGCCCTAGTTATATTTACATCTTAATCGTCAATGAAATCTGGCTGATTGTGCTTAATGACAGGTTTGAGGTTTGTTTATTAATTATTTTGAGACAGACATTTGCTTCACCGCAGATCCACTCTAACTCAAACTTGCGCACAGGATGTCAGACCTGTCGTGAGATTTGGTTGTAGTGTACACTCATGCCCAGATTGATAAATGCCAATCCTCACGTCGCAACTTACGTACGCAAGGTGTACATAAGTTTTCTGCCGTACACAAGCTTGATAAATGAGGGCCAATCTGTTTCTAATGATACATTGGGCTCTATTTTCGTGTACGCCAGTGAGGCGACGGAGGGCGGCGAGCCCCGGGCAGTTGTATTTTCATTTGGCGCAGCCCAGCGTACAGCCAGTTTGGTATTTTCGTGGACTGAGGCGCATAGAGGCGAACCGAGATCCGCCAAGCTGGGTGTGGTGGCGTGGTAGGGGGAGGTGTCGACAGAATCAGCGGGCGCAGTGACATTTTCGTGCTCGCCACCGGCGTGTAAAGTGCGCTGAAAGCTTGCCGATTCAAACCTGGTCAGCTTTCAGCGCAGGCGGAGCGCAGCTGGTCTAGTAGTATTTTGGTAGACCGGCGGCGTATTGGCATGCGTCACACATGCCTCACAGGCAGGTTTCCACAGTGTCAGGCACATTTCAGTGCAATAAATAATCATCAACAACTATCAATCTGAGTCAGCACATACATTTAGATCTATATCGATATATTCTGATCTATATCTGATCTGATGAGCACGTTTGGCACGCATTTGGACACACAACCTGACCGAATCAACACAGCTGAAACCGCATTAAATTGAATTAAATATCTAGTAAATAGACACACATGATGAAGTTAACTAGATATGTAATTCGCCTCCCTCCTTTTCTATCTTCCTCCTCCTCTTACTTCTCGCACAGCTCGACCTGGACACACCTCCATGTCCTCTCTCCGTCCTGCTGCAGCAGCGGCTGAACAGATGATTTGTTTCAGTGCTCAGATGCTTTATCTACTTTAAGCCGACATACGGATACTATAATATTCAGTTTTGTGAGCCAGGCCACGGAGCGCGATGTGTCATTTACGCACAGATGGTTCCAATTTTAATGACATTTTTGGAGTTAATGTTGTGATCTGTGCGCACAACCCACCTTTGTCACGTAAGGTTTGAATATATGCAACTTAATGTGAGTGTCTTTATTAGTGGAAAAGGGTGTTTGTCTTACCAGTGGGTCCAACATTACACACACCAAATCCATCTGTGCTCATATGAGAGAGTGTGGAGGACGCCCAATGCAGCGCTTACAGTGACACTTGTTGAGGAGCTGCCTTCTGTCGCAATCTTGTGGCATTACTGTCTTCAGACATCTCTTGATCTCTTTGACTACTTCACGAAAATGGTAATACGCCTCACCTGTGGCGGATTTAAAGGCAAGGAGAGGAGCTGATGTGATTGGTGAAAACAGGACTCGGCTGTGTTAAACCCACTCAACGCCCTCTCTCCTCCCTCGCTACGACTTACGCTGCTGGGAGGAGCTGAGTTAGGGAGGGGGGATACTTACGCCGGGCTGCGCTGCTCACCAAAATACCAAATTGTGCTTGGGAACGCCTTGTCGGCGCGGCAGACCTGACTTACGCCGTGCCTGAGGCACGTCTCTGGCGAGGCACAAAAATAGAGCCCATTGTGTTAAGGGTTGAAACACTGTTCTGAACCACTACTGACTCAGCTGGATCATTTTTAACATTTGTTGCTTAGGATTGTGTAAATTTGAAATCCAAATATATAAAAATTCACAATATGCCAGAGCACACCTTAAAGGGGACCTGCCACCAAAATTTCATACCCATTTTTATCATTTTTTCATAATCCTTGATGTCCTCTGATCATGTTTGCAACATAATTTTAGCTGAAAAGTTATTTGATGGTTTGTTTTAGTATGCCTAAAAAACCTTACAGGAAAACCAACTGGTTTTGGCTCATTAACATTTATGGTAATGAGCTTTGCTCTGATTGGATCGCTGCTGTGAAGCCTGCTGTGCTCTGATTGGCTCAGCAGTGGAGGTTCGGATTTCGGTTTATCCGCTGTTATTATGCTAATGCTAATAGCATATGCTAATGTGTGCTAAAGTAAGGTGCCCGGATGTCTGTAATGATATCCGGGGATATTCGGTGCGGCGGCGGTGGTGCAGGGGCTGCAGGGGCTGTGTGATCACAGACAAAGTCTCGGTACTATTTAGTAGCAGCGCATGCCCCTTGTAATACCCCCGTGAGAACTGTTGTTCAGGACTGCTAACTTGTGCTTCCTACCAATTCGGCTACTGTAATAACCGTTGTTCGAGCCCACACGCAACATTTTTGCTCTCATTAATGAAACGCTTAAATCGGGGACATTTTCGGGGACAGTTTTGCCGGGGAAAGATCATCCAATATGGGGACTGTCCCCGGAAATCGGGGACGTCTGGTCACCTTATGCTAAAGGCTAAAAACGGCAGGTATTAGACCATATATTTTAGACCCCGAGTCCGAGGAGGAGGTGGAAGTTGAGGAAGAAGCCGGAGATCTCCAGCGGTGTTTTCTCATTCATTCTGCCCAGCTTTAAGTTCATTTTCCCGGCAGTGAACCGAAGGAAACACCGGTCGTTTGGAAGAGACCCATAGCGGATACAGCGGTAGCTGGGTCTCGCTCTGGCTGTGACTGAGTACGAGAACGAGAGTGGGCGCGGCTCACCGAGGACGCGCTCGTGAATTATAATGAGCAACGTCGGCGCAACGTAACACCGACCTGCTTTTTCTATTGGCCTGGTTTACTCGTTCCTTTATTTTAAACCTTTACAGAATGCAAACGACGTAACGGTTTGTTTTCACATGTACAACATAAGACGAACATAATATGGACCTTAACTGACACAAAAAACCCCAAAAATTACATTTTTATGGCAGGTCCCCTTTAAAAAAAGAACAAACTATCCATTTGAGAGGGATCTCTAAATCTAAGCAGTATCACCTCTGTAGGAGAACTTGAAAGATATTTTTAACAAAACTTGACTTATTTGATTTATTCTACTTGCTACCTTCCCTTCCCTTGAATTTCCCTTCGGAAAGTAAAGTTGTTGTTGTTCTTCTTGTTCTTCTTCTGCTTCTTCCCTTAATTTTCAAACTGCATGGAAAGCTAAGGCTGAGTTGTGTTTTTATACAAAATCACATACAGAAATAGTTTTGTCAACTCGCCTTGGCCTATGCATCATTTATCTCTAGCAGATCATCTTTTTGGAAGATTAATATGTGCATCCAGTCCGTCTTCTCTTTTAGCTAGTCCCAGTTCTTCTGTGTCATCAGTAAAGACTTTAGAGCAACCTCCTCCTTCCTTTTTTTTTGGCCTATTTTCCCTCCTAAACTATTCAGACCTTTCTCCCATTTTATTTCCTGATGTCTTTCCTTATCAAAAATCTCCCCAAGATGCTTCAGATATCTTCCTTCCATGCACATTAGATTTATTTTCAAGGAAAGCAAATTTGTGTCTTGCTTCCTCTCTTTTCACCTTAAGGAGTCTGTCATGTCAGGATAGTCCAGACATACAGCTCTGTCCCCAGGGTGCAGTGTCAAGAGTGGAAACCCAGGGCCTGGACTTAAACTGCATACTCATTTTATGGTAGCTGTAAGAAGAAAGAAAAAAACACAGCCAGGATTACCAGTAATTTGAGAAGTTTTGCTTTTGGACTGCATTGTGCTTTACTATCTTTAATGCTTCATAAACATTCAGTGCATTTACACAGTTGAGTCAAGGTACAGTCATAGCTCAGTCAGGCAATTTAACTGGACTACTGTCTTTATTCCAGTTTACATGCACTGGGCAAGGATCAAATTACTGATAGAAGCATGTCTACCTCTTCTACAGTAGGTGGTGATGAGCTCATCACTATCGGGTGATCTTCAGGTATTTTGTATCAAAACAGATGGCAACATGCTAGCAAGAGGCTAACAGGGCATTACTTTCACCACTCATTGCACACATTTTTCAACCCTTAACACAGTGTATCATAAAAAAAAAAACACACTGTGCGGACGATGGGTTGGGTTAATATGCAGTCAGAAAAAATAAAACAAGGAGTCACAAAAAAAAAACAAAAAAAAAAAACACACCATCATTTGGCATTCATTTTGGCTGGTGTCTTAATAAAGGGGCCAAGCTGAGCAAAAACAAAGGTTTTGTTTATTGGCTTCTGGAAGTAAATAAGTCCAGTTACATCTGGATGATAGTCAATGTAGTTTGCATATCTAAAACAATTACTGAAGCCTTAAGGTGTAAGATCACTTTTTTTAAATGCTCTGATTAATTGATTGATTGATTGATTGATTGATTGATTGATTGATTGATTGAAACTGTTGTTTTCTAAAGTACCCCAAAACCAAACCAACTCCAAAGGACTTACGAGACTTTCTCCCTTCACTCATACAGGCAGCCATGTCATTGTGTGTGTTTGGCTCTGCTGCAAGTGAACAAGGAGTGAAGAGAATAATGGGAGGCCAGGTGGAGAGGTGGAGGAGGTTACAAAAGTGAAAATCTAGACTTTCAATTTTGCAAATCATACAGAACTATAAATGGAAATTAGTTAATTTAACTCTTTACCCAGCATTGATAAAATATTCTGTCAATTCGTGTTTTCACTGTAATATGGGCGGCGCTGTTTTGTACTTTGTGAATTATTGCACTCCTTTGATCCCATTAACAAGTGGGAGTTAACAGTAAAGGAGAGGAGAGAGGTACAGGTGTAGATGAGAGAAGGGGAAATCTTGCTGATGCAGGATGCAGGAAAGCCTCTTGAGAGGTGGACAATCAGAGGAGAGTAGGCTCATAGAGGGCGGCTTCAAGAGAAAGCCGCCAAAACAAAGCATTTTAGATGGAAGCTGAAAAATGATATTTTAATACACCAGAGGGAAAAACACGAGTCTTTGTGGATCTAAAAATCATTTAAAGCTATTACAGAGGTATCAGAGTGGAATTCCCCAAAAAGCCACTCTATAGCCACAAATAATACTCAGAACAGCACCCAACTTCATCAATAGTACATGTAGGGTCGCAGCCACAGTACTAGCCACCAAACATCTTTTTTACTTTGCCTTATTTCTTTTGCAAAAAGACTAAACACAACTCACCTCTCTCATTCAGCAGCCCCTTATTTGTAACGTGACTTCAGGCTGCGGGGTGAAGCAGCAAAAGAAACAACATTTGATCTATATTCTGAGCTGCGATTGCGTGGCATCACTGCTCAGAATATTGGCCGTCCCATCTTTTCACTTCACAGACTTATGGTGGCTTCATGGCGTGAACGGTGGACACTAGCCAGGAAGAGTAAAAGACTGACATAATTTTGACATGAATTTGATGTTTAGGATGTCAGTTGATAATTTGTGTTTCTGCATGACCAAAAAAAATCTGAATACAGATTATTTGACTGTAAAAGGTTTTCCAGAATACCTTGCTACTTTGATGACACCCTGTGACCCTGGGTCATCCTGGGTCACCCTTTGATACCCATGTATCGATTTGAATTTATAATAAATGTTTTAAGATTAATAGTTGACAATAATCTCTAAATTATGACATTTATGCACACCTTAAAAGGGGCACCATCCACTTTTAATGGTAGGAAAATAAAGAAAAACAAAAGTTTAATTCAGAAATCAAACATTCAGTGAATCTTAAATTAATCAATCTCATATCTCAAGCCGAAATTCTCATTTCAGGGACTCAACTTCTGGAAGAACACTAACAGACAAGAACTTAGAAAAATAAATGAATTGTTTATTACAGGATAAATGATTGTACAACATCCATGCAATAAATGAGGATAAGATGAGGATAGATAATGACAGATGAATGAAAGATTCTCAGTCAGGCTAGGACTACGAAAGTTAATGATAGTTAGTGAATATGCTCTAACATATTAACCTACATTAACTTTGATGAAAAGATAAATTTGGATATGGTTATCTGAATTATGAAGCATGAGACATCATCAGCCCTGTTTGGAGCTCTGGAGGTTTGGACACTTAAGTGAGGCTGGTCCTTGGAGAGGATGGAGCAGGTCCCGAAGGTCCAGGCTACCGGTGTAGTATCTGGGCTGTCCGCGATGTGTAGATGCAGAAGGAGGCTTCATGACACTGGCTTGCTTGTATAAGAGGAGTTTATTATAAAGACAATACCAGTATCAGAACAGCACTGCAGTTGCTGGGAGAGGACTGCCAATGATGTCCAGCTCTCTCAAACCAGAGTTTGTGACCCTGTTATATACGGTCAAGGATGTAAGTCCTCCTAGATTCTCGTTGTCCCCAAGCTATCTTTCATTACCATCTAGTTTTTTATTTAACCTACAATTGTGACCTGTGTCCTGTGACCTGTGACCTGCAAACGTGCAACTCCCAAGATATCCAGACCTAGGTACCATTAAAGAGACACAAGAAAAACACTTGGGCCCCGGTGGGGCACTGGCGGGCCCGAGCCGTGTCGCGCCGCCCCCAGCGCGACCGCCTACCCCTCCCGATCGCGTCACACTCAAGGTCCAAAGATGGTGTGCGCACTTGTCTGTGGTCATTTACCATTATAATGAATGGGAGGCGCATTTTCTACCAAAACGCTCGCTGCAGACAAACTCCATGTCCTTTTTGAAAAAAGTCTGGACCATGAGTGAGGGGGGGGGGGGGGCGCTCTTTTGGGGAGAAAAAATTCCTTCACAAATGTGTTGATGGCTGGACATTGCATCATCGTAGAAAACTTGGAGGCCAGTGAGGACAAAAATAAAAAGTTATAAGACTTTGAAATATGTGGATTTTAGGGTTATCTTTGGTGCCCCCTAGAACCTAAACCGTGGGGTGCAATGTCATGATTTGAATAACTTTCAATGGCCATGGGGTGTAGATTGGCCTGAGCAAATGTGGTGCCAGTGGAACGAAAGCCTTCGGAGGAGTTAGCGAAATTCCAATGTGTGCGGATCGGCAAAAAATGCGAAATAACCCTTTAACCGTACATTTGACAGATACGCCCGCACTGACTTTTTTGTAGATCTTATTGAGATACATATGTGTGTCAATTTTTGTGTCAATATGACAAAGCGTACAGGCGTGACAGTCAATAGTGTGAATTTCCACCTTAGGGGGCGCTATGGAGCCATTTTGCATTTTATTGTTTGGGTGACTTCAGAATATCGAATTTTTCACCAGGCCCGGTCGTCCTGCCAAATTTCATGAGTTTTCGCCAGTGGGAAGTGGGCCATTATCCAGTTCAAAGGGGAGGAAAAAGAAGAAACTAGGGCCCCGTTGGGGCACTGGCGGGCCGGAGCTGTGTCGCGCCGCCCCCAACACGACCGCCTCTCCCTCCTGATCGCGTCACACTCAAGGTCCAAAGATGGTGTGCGCACTTGTCTGTGGTCATTTACCATTATAATGAATGTGGGGCGCAGTTTCTACCAAAACGCTCGCTGCAGACAAACTACATGTCCTATTCGAAAAAAGTCTGGACTATGAGTGAGGGCACAAACACAGCAAGGATATATCCAAATGGCAAGTTGCTCCTCCTTTCGGTTTTGCCGAGAGGGCGATGTGTTTGAGCCATTGAGCGATGGTCAGGAAAAACTTGACTTTTTCTCCTGCCATGGGGGGGCACTCTTTTAGGGAGTAACAATTCCTTCACAAATGTGTTGATGGCTAGACATTGCATCATCCTAGAAAACTTGGAAGCCAGTGAGGACAAAAATGAAAAGTTATAAGACTTTTAAGAATGTGGATTTTTGGGTTATCTTTGGCGCCCCCTAGAACATAAACCGTGGGGTGCAGCGTCATGATTTGTACAACTTTTAATGGCCATGGGGTGTAGATTGGCCTGAGCAAATTTGGTGCCGGTGGAACAAAAGCTTTAGGAGGAGTTAGGCACATTCCAATGTGTGCGAATCGACCAAAAATGCGTAATAGCCCTTTAACCGTACATTTTACAGATACGCGCGCATAGACTTTTTTGTAGATCTTATTGAGATACATGTGTGTGTCAATTTTTGTGTCATTTTGCCAAAGCGTACAGGCGTGACACTCAACAATGTGTATTTTCACCTTAGGAGACAAGAAAAAATGGACCTTTTTCTCCTGCCATGGGGGGCGCTCTTTTGGGGAGTAAAAATTCCTTCACAAATGTGTTGATGGCTGGACATTGCATCATCCTAGAAAACTTGGAGGCCAGTGAGGACAAAAATAAAAAGTTATAAGACTTTGAAATATGTGGATTTTAGGGTTATCTTTGGCGCCCCCTAGAACCTAAACCGTGGGGTGCAGCATCATGATTTGAATAACTTTTAATGGCCATGGGGTGTAATTTGGCCCGAGCAAATGTGGTGCCGGTGGAACGCCAGCCTTCGGAGGAGTTAGCGAAATTCCAATGTGTGCGTATCGGCAAAAAATGCGGAATAACCCTTTAACCTTACATTTGACAGATACGCGCGTGTAGACTTTTTTGTAGATCTTATTGAGATACATGTGTGTGTCAATTTTTGTGTCATTTTGCCAAAGCGTACAGGTGTGACACTCAACAATGTGTGTTTTCACCTTAGGGGACAAGAAAAAATGGACTTTTTCTCCTGCCATGGGGGGCGCTCTTTTGGGGAGTAAAAATTCCTTCACAAATGTGTTGATGGCTGGACATTGCATCATCCTAGAAAACTTGGAAGCCAGTGAGGACAAAAATAAAAAGTTATAAGACTTTTAAATATGTGGATTTTTGGGTTATCTTTGGCGCCCCCTAGAACATAAACCGTGGGGTGCAGCGTCATGATTTGTACAACTTTTAATGGCCATGGGGTGTAGATTGGCCTGAGCAAATTTGGTGCCGGTGGAACAAAAGCTTTAGGAGGAGTTAGGCACATTCCAATGTGTGCGAATCGACCAAAAATGCGTAATAGCCCTTTAACCGTACATTTTACAGATACGCGCGCATAGACTTTTTTGTAGATCTTATTGAGATACATGTGTGTGTCAATTTTTGTGTCATTTTGCCAAAGCGTACAGGCGTGACACTCAACAATGTGTATTTTCACCTTAGGAGACAAGAAAAAATGGACCTTTTTCTCCTGCCATGGGGGGCGCTCTTTTGGGGAGTAAAAATTCCTTCACAAATGTGTTGATGGCTGGACATTGCATCATCCTAGAAAACTTGGAGGCCAGTGAGGACAAAAATAAAAAGTTATAAGACTTTGAAATATGTGGATTTTAGGGTTATCTTTGGCGCCCCCTAGAACCTAAACCGTGGGGTGCAGCATCATGATTTGAATAACTTTTAATGGCCATGGGGTGTAATTTGGCCCGAGCAAATGTGGTGCCGGTGGAACGCCAGCCTTCGGAGGAGTTAGCGAAATTCCAATGTGTGCGTATCGGCAAAAAATGCGGAATAACCCTTTAACCTTACATTTGACAGATACGCGCGCGTAGACTTTTTTGTAGATCTTATTGAGATACATGTGTGTGTCAATTTTTGTGTCATTTTGCCAAAGCGTACAGGTGTGACACTCAACAATGTGTGTTTTCACCTTAGGGGACAAGAAAAAATGGACTTTTTCTCCTGCCATGGGGGGGCGCTCTTTTGGGGAGTAAAAATTCCTTCACAAATGTGTTGATGGCTGGACATTGCATCATCCTAGAAAAACTTGGAAGCCAGTGAGGACAAAAATAAAAAGTTATAAGACTTTTAAATATGTGGATTTGAGGGTTATTTTTGGCGCCCCCTAGAACCTAAACCGTGGGGTGCAGCGTCATGATTTGAATAACTTTTAATGGCCATGGGGTGTAGATTGGCCTGAGCAAATGTGGTGCCGGTGGAACGAAAGCCTTCAGAGGAGTTAGCGAAATTCCAATGTGTGCGGATCGGGAAAAAATGTGAAATAACCCTTTAACCGTACATTTGACAAATACGCCCGCACTGACTTTTTTGTAGATCTTATTGAGATACATATGTGTGTCAATTTTTGTGTCAATATGACAAAGCGTACAGGCGTGACAGTCAATAGTGTGAATTTACACCTTAGGGGGCGCTATGGAGCCATTTTGCATTTTATTGTTCGGGCGACTTCAGTATATCGAATTTTTCACCAGGCCCGGTCGTCCTGCCAAATTTCATGAGTTTTCGCCAGTGGGAAGTGGGCCATTTTCCAGTTCAAAGGGGAGGAAAAAGAAGAAAGAAGAAACAAAGAAAAACCACTACAGGAACAACAGGGCTCTACGCCCGGCTGCTATGCAGCTGGCTCGGGCCCTAACTAGGGCCCCGTTGGGGCACTGGCGGGCCCGAGCTGTGTCGCGCCGCCCCCAGCAAGACCGCCTCCCTGTCCCATTCACGTCCTCAGGCTGTCGCCCTCTGTGGTGACGCCCATCACTGCAAAGACCCTTTTCCTTCATCGGTGTTTGCTGTTCTTCTTGCCAGTGCGTGTTGCTTCCACTTATACTTGCCACAGCCAGCCCCCTAGAACGTAAACCGTGGGGTGCAGCGTCATGATTTTTACAACTTTGAATGGCCATGGAGTGTAGATTGGCCTGAGCAAATTTGGTGTCAGTGGGACGAAAGCCTTAGGAGGACTTAGCGAAATTCCAATGTGTGCAAATCGCCAAAAAATGCAAAATAGCCCTTTAACTGTACATTTTACACTAACGTGCCCATTGACTTTTTCATAGATCTTATGGAGATACACGTGATTGTCAAATTTTTTGTCAATATGACAAAGCGTAAAGGCGTGACACTCAACAACGTGTATTTTCACCTTTCGGGATAAGAAAAAATGGACTTTTTTCTCCTGCCATGGGGGGGCGCTCTTTTTGGGGAGTAAAAATTTCTTCACAAATGTGTTGATGGCTGGACATTGCATCATCCTAAAAAACTTGGAGGCCAGTATGGAAAAAAATAAAAAGTTATAAGACTTTTAAGAATGTGGATTTTTGGGTTATATTTGGTGCCCCCTTGAACCCAAACCGTGGGGTGCAGCAAGATGATTTGTACAACTTTTAATGGCCATGGGGTGTAGATTGGCCTGAGCAAATTTGGTGCCGGTGGAAAGATAGCCTTCGGAGGAGTTAGCGAAATTCCAATGTGTGCGGATCGGCAAAAAATGCAAAATAGCCCTTTAACCGTACATTTGACAGATACATGCCCTCGACTTTTTCGTAGATCTTATTGAGATACACGTGATTGTCAAATTTTGTGTCAATATGACAAAGCATATAGGCGTGACACTCGACAATGTGTATTTTCACCTTAGGAGACAAGAAAAAATGGACCTTTTTCTCCTGCCATTGGGGGGCGCTCTTTTGGGGAGTAAAAATTCCTTAACAAATGTGTTGATGGCTGGACATTGCATCATCCTAGAAAACTTGGAGGCCAGTGAGGACAAAAGTAAAAAGTTATAAGACTTTTAAGAATGTGGATTTTTGGGTTATCTTTGGCGCCCCCTAGAACGTAAACCGTGGGGTGCAGCGTCATGATTTGTACAACTTTTAATGGCCATGGGGGGTAGATTGGCCTGCGCAAATGTGGTGCCGGTCGAACGAAAGCCTTCGGAGGAGTAAGCGAAATTCCAATGTGTGCAGATCTGCAAAAAATGCAAAATAACCCATTAACCGTACATTTGACAGATACGCCCGCACTGACTTTTTTGTAGATCTTATTGAGATACATGTTTGTGTCAATTTTTGTGTCAATATGACAAAGCGTACAGCCGTCATGTGAATTTTCACCTTAGGGGGCGCTATGGAGCCATTTTGAATTTTATTGTTTGGGCGACTTCAGAATATCGAATTTTTCACCAGGCCCGGTCGTCCTGCCAAATTTCCTGAGTTTTCGCCAGTGGGAAGTGGGCCATTTTCCAGTTTAAAGCTCAGGAAAAAAAAGAAGAAACTAGGGCCCCGTTGGGGCACTGGCGGGCCGGAGCTGTGTCGCGCCGCCCCCAACACGACCGCCTCTCCCTCCTGATCGCGTCACACTCTAGGTCCAAAGATGGAGTGCGCACTTCTCTGTGGTCATTTCCCATTATAATGAATGGGAGGCGCAGTTTCTACCAAAACACTCACTGCAGACAAACTACATGTCCTATTTGAAAAAAGTCTGGACCATGAGTGAGGGCACAAACACAGCTAGGATATATCCAAATGGCAAGTTGCTCCTCCTTTCGCTTTTGCCGAGAGAGCGATGCGATTGAGCCATTGAGCGATGGGCAGGAAAAACTTGACTTTTTCTCCTGCCATGGGGGGAGGGGGGGGGGATGTGGATTCTTTTAAGAATGTGGATATTTGGGTCATCTTTGGCACCCCCTAGAACGTAAACCGTGGGGTGCAGCGTCATGATTTTTACAACTTTGAATGGCCATGGGGTGTAGATTGGCCTGAGCAAATTTGGTGTCGGTGGGACGAAAGCCTTAGGAGGAGTTAGCCACATTCCAATGTGTGCGAATCGGCAAAAAATGCAAAATAGCCCTTTAACCGTACATTTTACAGATATTTGCGCATGACTTTTTCATAGATCTTATTGAGATACACGTGATTGTCAAATTTTGTGTCATTTTGACAAAGCGTACAGGCGTGACACTCAACAATGTGTATTTTCACCTTATGGGACAAGAAAAAATGGACTTTTTTCTCCTGCCATGGGGGGCGCTCTTTTGGGGAGTAAAAATTCCTTCACAAATGTGTTGATGGCTGGACATTGCATCATCCTAGAAAACTTGGAGGCCAGTGAGGACAAAAATAAAAAGTTATAAGACTTTTAAGAATGTGGATTTTTGGGTTATCTTTGGCGCCCCCTAGAACCTAAACCGTGGGGTGCAGCGTCATGATTTGTACAACTTTTAATGGCCATGGGGTGTAGACTGGCCTGAGCAAATTTGGTGCCGGTGGAACGAAAGCCTTCGGAGGAGTTAGCGAAATTCCAATGTGTGCGGATCGGCAAAAAATGCGAAATAGCCCTTTAACCGTACATTATACAGATACGCGCTCTTTGACTTTTTCGTAGATCTTATTGAGATACACGTGTGTGTCAAATTTTGTGTCAATATGACAAAGCGTTCAGGCATGACACTCAACAATGTGTATTTTCACCTTAGGGGACAAGAAAAAATGGACTTTTTTCTCCTGCCATGGGGGGCGCTCTTTTGGGGAGTAAAAATTTCTTCACAAATGTGTTGATGGCTGGACATTGCATCATCCTAGAAAACTTGGAGGCCAGTGAGGACAAAAATAAAAAGTTATAAAAATTTTAAGACTGTGGATTTTTGGGTTATCTTTGGCGCCCCCTAGAATGTAAACCGTGGAGTGCAGCGTAATGATGTGTACAACTTTTAATGGCCATGGGGTGTAGATTGTCCTGAGCCAATTTGTTGCCGGTGGAACGAAAGCCTTCGGAGGAGTTAGCGAAATTCCAATGTGTGCGGATCGGCAAAAAATGCGAAATAGCCCTTTAACCGTACATTTGACAGATACGCCCGCACTGACTTTTTTGTAGATCTTATTGAGATACACATGTGTGTCAAATTTTGTGTCATTTTGACAAAGCCTACAGGCGTCAGGTGAGTTTTCACCATAGGGGGCCCTATGGAGCCATTTTTCATTTTTTTGTTTGGGCGACTTCAGAATATCGAATTTTTCACCAGGCCCGGTCGTCCTGCCAAATTTCCTGAGTTTTCGCCAGTGGGAAGTGGGCCATTTTCCAGTTTAAAGCGGAGGAAAAATAACGAAACTAGGGCCCCGGTGGGGCACTGTCGGGCCCGAGCCGCGTCGCGCCGCCCCCAGCGCGACGGTGTTGCAGGGAGAGCGATGCGATTGAGCCATTGAGCGATGGGCAGGGTTAACTTGACTTTTTCTCCTGCCTTGGGGGAGGGGGGGGATGTGGATTCTTTTAAGAATGTGGATATTTGGGTCATCTTTGGCGCCCCCTAGAACGTAAACCGTGGGGTGCAGCGTCATGATTTTTACAACTTTGAATGGCCATGGGATGTAGATCGGCTTGAGCAAATTTGGTGTCGGTGGGACGAAAGCCTTAGGAGGAGTTAGCCACATTCCAATGTGTGCGAATCGGCAAAAAATGCAAAATAGCCCTTTAACCGTACATTTTACAGATACGTGCCCATTGACTTTTTCGTAGATCTTATTGAGATACACGTGTGTGTCAAATTTTGTGTCATTTTGACAAAGCGTATAGGCGTGACAGTCAACAATGTGTTTTTTCACCTTAGGGGACAAGAAAAAATTGACTTTTTTCTCCTGTCATGGGGGGGCGCTCTTTTCGGGAGTAAAAATTCCTTTACAAATGTGTTGATGGCTGGACATTGCATCATCCTAGAAAACTTGGAGGCCAGTGAGGACAAAAATAAAAAGTAATAAGACTTTCAAGAATGTGGATTTGTGGGTTATCTTTGGCGCCCCCTAGAACCTCAACCGTGGGGTGCAGCGTCATGATTTGTACAACTTTCAATTGCCATGGGGTGTAGATTGGCCTGAGCAAATGTGGTGCCGGTGGAAAAAAAGCCTTCGGAGGAGTTAGCGAAATTCCAATGTGTGCGGATCGGCAAAAAAATGCAAAATAACCCTTTAACCGTACATTTGACAGATACGCCCGCACTGACTTTTTTGTAGATCTTATTGAGATACATGTGTGTGTCAATTTTTGTGTCAATATGACAAAGCGTACAGGCGTGACAGTGAATAGTGTAAATTTTCACCTTAGGGGGCCCTATGGAGCCATTTTGCATTTTATTGTTTGGGCGACTTCAGAATATCGAATTTTTCACCAGGCCCGGTCGTCCTGCCAAATTTCATGAGTTTTCGCCAGTGGGAAGTGGGCCATTTTCCAGTTTAAAGCGGAGGAAAAATAATAATAATAACTAGGGCCCCGGTGGGGCACTGTCGGCCGTCCCCGGCGCGACCGCCTCCCCCTCCCGATCGCGTCACACTCAAGGTCCAAAGATGGTGTGCGCACTTGTCTGTGGTCATTTCCCATTATAATGAATGGGAGGCGCAGTTTCTACCAAAACACTCGCTGCAGACAAACTACATGTCCTATTTGAAAAAAGTCTGGACCATGAGTGAGGGCACAAACACAGCTAGGATATATCCAAACGGCAAGTTGCTCCTTGTTACAGTGTTGCCGGGAGAGCGATGCGATTGAGCCATTGAGTGATGGGCAGGAAAAACTTGACTGTTTCTCCTGCCATGGGGGATGGGGGATGGGGGGGGGGGGGAGATACACGTGATTGTCAAATTTTTTGTCAATATGACAAAGCGTTTAGGCGTGACACTCAACAATGTGTATTTTCATGTTAGGGGACAAGAAAAACTTGACTTTTTTCTCCTGCCATGGGGGGGCGCTCTTTTGGGGAGTAAAAATTCCTTCACAAATGTGTTGATGGCTTGACATGGCATCATCCTAGAAAACTTGGAGGCCAGTGAGGACAAAAATAAAAAGTTAGAAGACTTTTAAGAATGTGGATTTTTGGGTTATCTTTGGCGCCCCCTAGAACGTAAACCGTGGGGTGCAGCGTCATGATTTGTACAACTTTTAATGGCCATGGGGTGTAGATTGGCCTGAGCAAATGTGGTGCCGGTGGAAGGAAAGCCTTCGGAGGAGTTAGCGAAATTCCAATGTGTGCGGATCGGCAAAAAATGCGAATTAGCCCTTTAACAGTACATTTGACAGATACGCTCGCACTGACTTTTTTGTAGATCTTATTGAGATACACATGTGTGTCAAATTTTGTGTCATTTTGACAAAGTGTACAGGCTTCAGGTGAGTTTTCCCCATAGGGGGCGCTATGCAGCCATTTTTCATTTTTTTGTTTGGGCGACTTCAGAATATCAAATTTTTCACCAGGCCCGGTCGTCCTGCCAAATTTCCTGAGTTTTCGCCAGTGGGAAGTGGGCCATTTTCCAGTTTAAAGCGGAGGAAAAATAACGAAAGAAGAATCCATCAGGAACAAGAGGGCTCTCGCAGCTGCTTAGCAGCTACGCTCGGGCCCTAATAACAAACTAGGACCCCGTTGGGGCACTGGCGGGCCCGAGCTGTGTCGCGTCCCCCCCCCCAACGCGCTGCCTCCCCGTCCCATTTGTGTCCTCTGGCCATCGCCCTCTCTGGTAACGCCCATCACTGCAAAGACCATTTTCCTTCATCTGCGTTTGCTGTTCTTCCTGCCAGTGCGTGTTGCTTTCACTTACACTTGCCACAGCCAGCCTCATGAGTGCCTAGCCTATTGGATATCACTGTCACCTACACAGGACAGTCATTACCTTTCTATTAATACTTTGTTTTTTAATTTCACATTAATTTCCATATTGTATAAACAACTGGAAAAAACTTGAGCCCCTGCCCCTGTATAATCATGTGCACGTCTCTGTTCTAGCTCTAAGGTGAATCTTCACTGCTCATGTTCTCCTCAGAAGCAGTCACCTCACTCCCCTCAGGTTACTGTACACATGCACCAACTGCCTGCTTCAGGTTTGGATGGAGCTTCATGGTTGTCTTTTGGAGAAATGACCAGTCAAGTTGTGTTTGAAATTTGATTTTTTTCAGGGGCAAAAGGAGCCTCTGCATTCTTGTCAAATATGTAAATAGCATGTTTTTGCAGGTGCTAAAAACCAGACTCTGAGTGTATGTGTGTGCGTGTGTGTGTGTCTGTGTGTGTGTGTGTGTGTGCGTTCAAGTCACATGACATATTTAACCGGATGTAGCTGCAAGACGGAGCCTCGTTGACTCTCCGTTTCAACTTATCTCAAAAGTGAGGACCTCAACCTATATACCAGTTTTTAAATTGTGTTGATAGGCCAAATAAAACCAGAGTTATGATAAATTATGTCCGCGATACTTGTTTTCTGCTTATTTTGATCACGTTCGGCGCTCGATCGCGCTGTATGAGACAGGAAAACATAGCATGCAGACATTAGCGACAGGTCTTACAGGCGGAAAAGGCTTGCCAAAAGAAAAAAAAAAACACACCACAACATCTCTCCTATTGGTGGAAAACTTCACCACAACAACCAATCCAAAATTATATGGTGACTGATTGACAAGGGGCGGGCGCTTACGTTCTTCCTGCAATATGAGAAGGGAGGGAGGGACTCTCAGCAGGGATGCAGTCTGGGACACGTAGTTGCAAACCTAGCGACTTTGTTGTTAGATTCAATGACTTTTCAGACCCCCTAACGACTTTTTTTTAGAAAGAAAGTGACTTTTATTGACTTCTTCTGGAGTTTAGAGACTCTGACGTGAAGCAGGCTTTCCTTACTGAGGAGTTAGCAACGCTGCTAAGGGTGCAGAGCCACACATGCGCTCCGAGCTCTGCATGGGAGACTGAAGCTGACAGAGCTGCAGCAGTTAGCAGGTTTCACCCTCAGAGACCACCAGGGGTTCATGTTGAGGCATTTTCAGTTTTTTTTTTTTTTTTGCCATAGACACTGTCAGCACAATCTGCAGTTACACTAACAAAAATGCTGCAAAAAACAAAGAATTATGGAAAAATTACACATGGACTGACATAGAGGAGGATCTACACAAGTTTTTTACATCATGTTTTACATCATGCATCATTTACATCATGTTTTTTTGTAGTGGCATAAATAAAAAGTGACATTTGTGAGACTATACAGTGTTTTGTAAATAATTTTACAAAGAACACCTGGGCCATTGCCTGCATTTTGATGTAAATAGAGGTAAATTACTATGTTCTTTGTTAAAAATTTGCATATGTTTTGAAGTTTACAATTTTTATTTGAAGTTTAAGTTTTAAAAACAGTTCATCACACATATTTGTGGTTTTCACAGTAAAAACGTTACTTTTTTCCACTCGGATTTTATGTTTTGTGTGTGAATTTGGGTCCAATGTGTAAATATAGTATGTCAAAATGATAAAATAACTGTAAATTGACACAGGTGAGGTTGTGCTGAAAAAAATGATACCAGGCAAGGCAAGGTAAAAATTTTGTAAGAGGAAATATAAAGGTAAAATCTAAAGTAGTCAAAAACGGCCAATAGTGACTCACAGACTCCACAGACAAGTCCCTTTGGCGCCACTCAGTGGGCAAAACTACTTTGTCTACTGTAATGTATATTTGGGTCATCTTTGGCGCCCCCTAAAACGTAAACCGTGGGGTGCAGCGTCATGATTTTTACAACTGTGAATGGCCATGGAGTGTAGATTGGCCTGAGCAAATTTGGTGTCAGTGGGACGAAAGCCTTAGGAGGAGTAAGCCACATTCCAATGTGTGCGAATCGGCAAAAAATGCAAAATAGCCCTTTTACCGTACATTATACAGATACGCGCTCTTTGACTTTTTCATAGATCTAATTGAGATACACATGATTGTCAATTTTTGTGTCATTTTGCCAAAGCGTACAGGCGTGACAGTCAACAATGTGTATTTTCACCTTAGGGGACAAGAAAAAATGGACTTTTTTCTCCTGCCATGGGGGGGCGCTCTTTTAGGGAGTAAAAATTCCTTCACAAATGTGTTGATGGCTGGACATTGCATCATCCTAGAAAACTTGGAGGCCAGTGAGGACAAAAATAAAAAGTTATAAGACTTTTAAAAATGTGGATTTTTGGGTTATCTTTGGCGCCCCCTAGAACGTAAACCGTGGGGTGCAGCGTCATGATTTGAATAACTTTGAATGGCCATGGAGTGTAGATTGGCCTGAGCAAATTTGGTGTCAGTGGGACGAAAGCCTTAGGAGGACTTAGCAATATTCCAATGTGTGCGAATCGCCAAAAAATGCAAAATAGCCCTTTAACTGTACATTTTACACTTACGTGCCCATTGACTTTTTCATAGATCTTATTGAGATACACGTGATAGTCAAATTTTTTGTCAATATGACAAAGCGTAAAGGCATGACACTCAACAACGTGTATTTTCACCTTTCGGGATAAGAAAAAATGGACTTTTTTCTCCTGCCATGGGGGCACGCTCTTTTGGCGAGTAAAAATTCCTTCACAAATGTGTTAATTGCTGGACATTGCATCATCTTAGAGAACTTGGAGGCCAGTGAGGACAAAAATAAAAAGTTATAAGACTTTTAAGACTGTGGATTTTTGGGTTATCTTTGGCGCCCCCTAGAACCTAAACCATGGGGTGCAGCATCATGATTTGAATAACTTTTAATGGCCATGGGGTGTAGATTGGCCTGAGCAAATGTGGTGCCGGTGGAACGAAAGCCTTCGGAGGAGTTAGCGAAATTCCAATGTGTGCGGATCGGCAAAAAATGCGGAATAACCCTTTAACTGTACATTTGACAGATACGCGCGCATGGACTTTTTTGTAGATCTTATTGAGTTACATGTGTGTGTCAATTTTTGTGTCATTTTGACAAAGCGTATAGGCGTGACACTCAACAATGTGTATTTTCACCTTAGGGGACAAGAAAAAATGGACTTTTTTCTCCTGCCATGGGGGGGCGCTCTTTTGGGGAGTAAAAATTCCTTCACAAATGTGTTGATGGCTGGACATTGCATCATCCTAGAAAACTTGGAGGCCAGTGAGGGCAAAAATAAAAAGTTATAAGACTTTTAAATATGTGGATTTTAGGGTTATCTTTGGCGCCCCCTAGAACCTAAACCGTGGGGTGCAGCGTCATGATTTGAATAACTTTCAATGGCCATGGGGTGTAGATTGGCCTGAGCAAATGTGGTGCCGGTGGAACGAAAGCCTTCGGAGGAGTTAGCGAAATTCCAATGTGTGCGGATCGGCAAAAAATGCGAAATAACCCTTTAACCGTACATTTGACAGATACGCCCGCATGACTTTTTTGTAGATCTTATTGAAATACATGTGTGTGTCAATTTTTGTGTCATTTTGACAAAGCGTACAGGCGTGACAGTCAATAGTGTGAATTTTCACCTTAGGGGGCGCTATGGAGCCATTTTGCATTTTCTTGTTTGGGCGACTTCGGAATATCAAATTTTTCACCAGGCCCGGTCGTCCTGCCAAATTTCCTGAGTTTTCGCCAGTGGGAAGTGGGCCATTTTCCAGTTCAAAGGGGAGGAAAAATAATAACTAGGACCCCGTTGGGGCACTGGCGGGCCCGAGCCGTGTCGCGTCCCCCCCGCAACGTGCTGCCTCCCCGTCCCATTTGTGTCCTCTGGCCATCGCCCTCTCTGGTAACGCCCATCACTGCAAAGACCCTTTTCCTTCATCGGCGTTTGCTGTTCTTCCTGCCAGTGCGTGTTGCTTTCACTTACACTTGCCACAGCCAGCCTCGTGAGTGCCTAGCCTATTGGATATCACTGTCACCTACACAGGACAGTCATTACCTTTCTATTAATACTTTGTGTTTTAATTTCACATTAATTTCCATATTGTATAAACGACTGGAAAAAACTTGAGCCCCTGCCCCTGTATAATCATGTGCATGTCTCTGTTCTAGCTCCAAGGTGAATTTTCACTGCTCATGTTCTCCTCAGAAGCAGTCACCTCACTCCCCTCAGGTTACTGTACACATGCACCAACTGCCTGCTTCAGGTTTGGATGGAGCTTCATGGTTGTCTTTTGGAGAAATGACCAGTCAAGTTGTGTTTGAAATTTGATTTTTTTCAGGGGTAAAAGGAGCCTCTGCATTCTTGTCAAATATGTAAATAGCATGTTTTTGCAGGTGCTAAAAACCAGACTCTGAGTGTGTGTGTGTGTGTGTGTGCGTGTGTGTGTGTCTGTGTGTGCGTTCAAGTCACATGACATATTTAACCGGATGTAGCTGCAAGACGGAGCCTCGTTGACTCTCCGTTTCAACTTATCTCAAAAGTGAGGACCTCAACCTATATACCAGTTTTTAAATTGTGTTGATAGGCCAAATAAAACCAGAGTTATGATAAATTATGTCCGCGATACTTTTTTTCTGCTTATTTTGATCACGTTCGGCGCTCGATCGCGCTGTATGAGACAGGAAAACATAGCATGCAGACATTAGCGACAGGTCTTACAGGCGGAAAAGGCTTGCCAAAAGAAAAAAAAAACACACCACAACATCTCTCCTATTGGTGGAAAACTTCACCACAACAACCAATCCAAAATTATATGGTGACTGATTGACAAGGGGCGGGCGCTTACGTTCTTCCTGCAACATGAGAAGGGAGGGAGGGACTCTCAGCAGGGATGCAGTCTGGGACACGTAGTTGCAAACCTAGCGACTTTGTTGTTAGATTCAATGACTTTTCAGACCCCCTAACGACTTTTTTTTAGAAAGAAAGGGACTTTTATCGACTTCTTCTGGAGTTTAGAGACTCTGACATGAAGCAGGCTTTCCTTACTGAGGAGTTAGCAACGCTGCTAAGGGTGCAGAGCCACACATGCGCTCAGAGCTCTGCATGGGAGACTGAAGCTGACAGAGCTGCAGCAGTTAGCAGGTTTCACCCTCAGAGACCACCAGGGGTTCATGTTGAGGCATTTTAATTTTTTTTTTTTTTTGTGCCATAGACACTGTCAGCACAATCTGCAGTTACACTAACAAAAATGCTGCAAAAAACAAAGAATTATGGAAAAATTACACATGGACTGACATAGAGGAGGATCTACACAAGTTTTTTACATCATGTTTTACATCATGCATCATTTACATCATGTTTTTTTGTAGTGGCATAAATAAAAAGTGACATTTGTGAGACTATACAGTGTTTTGTAAATAATTTTACAAAGAACGCCTGGGCCATTGCCTGCATTTTGATGTAAATAGAGGTAAATCACTATGTTCTTTGTTAAAAATTTGCATATGTTTTGAAGTTTACAATTTTAATTTGAAGTTTAAGTTTTAAAAACAGTTCATCACACATATTTGTGGTTTTCACAGTAAAAATGTTACTTTTTTCCACTCGGATTTTATGTTTTGTGTGTGAATTTGGGTCCATTGTGTAAATTCAGTACGTCAACATGATAAAATAACTGTAAATTCGCACAGGTGAGGTTGTGCTGAAAAAAATGATACCAGGCAAGGCACGTGATTGTCAAATTTTGTGTCAATATGACAAAGCGTATAGGCGTGAATCTCAACAATATGTATTTTCACCTTAGGGGACAAGAAAAAATGGACTTTTTTCTCCTGCCATGGGGGGGCGCTCTTTTGGGGAGTAAAAATTCCTTCACAAATGTGTTGATGGCTGGACATTGCATCATCCTAGAAAACTTGGAGGCCAGTGAGGACAAAAATAAAAAGTTATAAGACTTTTAAATATGTGGATTTTAGGGTTATCTTTGGCGCCCCCTAGAACCTAAACCGTGGGGTGCAGCGTCATGATTTTGATAACTTTTAATGGCCATGGGGTGTAGATTGGCCTGAGCAAATGTGGTGCCGGTGGAACGAAAGCCTTAGGAGGAGTTAGCGAAATTCCAATGTGTGCGGATCGGCAAAAAATGCGGAATAACCCTTTAACCGTACATTTGACAGATACGCGCGCATTGACTTTTTCGTAGATCTTATTGAGTTACATGTGTGTGTCAATTTTTGTGTCATTTTGACAAAGCGTATAGGCGTGACACTCAACAATGTGTATTTTCACCTTAGGGGACAAGAAAAAATGGACTTTTTTCTCCTGCCATGGGGGGGCGCTCTTTTGGGGAGTAAAAATTCCTTCACAAATGTGTTGATGGCTGGACATTGCATCATCCTAGAAAACTTGGAGGCCAGTGAGGACAAAAATAAAAAGTTATAAGACTTTTAAATATGTGGATTTTAGTGTTATCTTTGGCGCCCCCTAGAACCTAAACCTTGGGGTGCAGCGTCATGATTTTGATAACTTTTAATGGCCACGGGGTGTAGATTGGCCTGAGCAAATGTGGTGCCGGTGGAACGAAAGCCTTCGGAGGAGTTAGCGAAATTCCAATGTGTGCGGATCGGCAAAAAATGCGAAATAACCCTTTAACCGTAATTTTGACAGATACGGCCGCACTGACTTTTTTGTAGATCTTATTGAGATACATATGTGTGTCAATTTTTGTGTCAATATGACAAAGCGTACAGGCGTGACAGTCAATAGTGTGAATTTTCACCTTAGGGGGCGCTATGGAGCCATTTTGCATTTTATTGTTTGGGCGACTTCAGAATATCAAATTTTTCACCAGGCCCGGTCGTCCTGCCAAATTTCATGAGTTTTCGCCAGTGGGAAGTGGGCCATTTTCCAGTTCAAAGGGGAGGAAAAAGAAAAAAGAAAGAAAGAAACAAAGAAAAACCACTTGGGGAATAATAGGGCCTACGCCCGGCTGCTCTGCAGCTGGCTCGGGCCCTAATAATAACAAACTAGGGCCCCGTTGGGGCACTGGCGGGCCCGAGCTGTGTCACGCCGCCCCCAACACGACCGCCTCTCCCTCCCGATCGCGTCACACTTAAGGTTCAACGATGGTGTGCGCACTTGTCTGTGGTCATTTACCATTATAATGAATGGGAGGCGCAGTTTCTACCAAAACGCTTGCTGCAGACAAACTACATGTCCTATTTGAAAAAAGTCTGGACCATGAGTGAGGGCACAAACACAGCTAGGATATATCCAAATGGCAAGTTCCTCCTCCTTTTGTTTTTTTCCGAGAGAGCGATGTGTTTGAGCCATTGAGCGATGGGCAGGAAAAACTTGACTTTTTCTCCTGCCATGGGGGGGCACTCTTTTAGGGAGAAAAAATTCCTTCACAAATGTGTTGATGGCTAGACATTGCATCATCCTAGAAAACTTTGAAGCCAGTGAGGACAAAAATGAAAAGTTATAAGACTTTTAAGAATGTGGATTTTTGGGTTATCTTTGGCGACCCCTAGAACGTAAACCGTGGGGTGCAGCATCATGATTTGTACAACTTTTAATGGCCATGGGGTGTAGATTGGCCTGAGCAAATTTGGTGCCGGTGGAACAAAAGCTTTAGGAGGAGTTAGCCACATTCCAATGTGTGCGAATCAACCAAAAATGCGAAATAGCCCTTTAACCGTACATTTTGCAGACACGTGCGCATTGACTTTTTCGTAGATCTTATTGAGATACACGTGATTATCAAATTTTGTTTCAATATGACAAAGCGTACAGGCGTGACACTCAACAATGTGTATTTTCACCTTATAGGACAAGAAAAAATTGCCTTTTTTCTCCTGCCATGGGGGGGCGCTCTTTTGGGGAGTAAAAATTCCTTCACAAATGTGTTGATGGCTGGACATTGCATCATCCTAGAAAACTTGGAGACCAGTGAGGACAGAAATAAAAAGTTATAAGACTTGTAAGAATGTGGATTTTTGGGTTATCTTTGGCGCCCCCTACAACGTAAACCGTGGGGTGCAGCGTCATGATTTGTACAACTTTGAATGGCCATGGGGTGTAGATTGGCCTGAGCAAATTTGGTGCCGGTGGAACGAAAGCCTTCGGAGGAGTTAGCGAAATTCCAATGTGTGCGGATCTGCAAAAAATGCGAAATAGCCCTTTAAACGTACATTTGACAGATACGCCCGCACTGACTTTTTTGTAGATCTTATTGAGATACACGTGTGTGTCAAATTTTGTGTCATTTTGACAAAGCGTACAGGCGTGACACTCAATCATGTGAATTTTTCACCTTAGGGGGCGCTGTGGAGCCATTTTGCATTTGATTGTTTGGGTGACTTCAGAATATCGAATTTTTCACCAGGCCCGGTCGTCGTGCCAAATTTCATGAGTTTTCACCAGTGGGAAGTGGGCCATTTTCCAGTTCAAAGGGGCAGAAAAATAACTAGGGCCCCGTTGGGGCACTGGCGGGCCCGAGCCGTGTCGCGCCGCCCCCAGCGCGACCGCCTACCCCTCCCGATCGCGTCACACTCAAGGTCCAAAGATGGTGTGCGCACTTGTCTGTGGTCATTTACCATTATAATGAATGGGAGGCGCAGTTTCTACCAAAACGCTCGCTGCAGACAAACTCCATGTCCTTTTTGAAAAAATTCTGGACCAGGAGTGAGGGCACAAACACAGCTAGTATATATCCAAATGGCAAGTTGCTCCTCCTTTCGGTTTTGCCGAGAGAGCGATGCGTTTGAGCCATTGAGCGATGGGCAGGAAAAACTTGACTTTTTCCCCTGCCATGGGGGGGCGCTCTTATGGGGAGAAAAAATTCCTTCACAAATGTGTTGATGACTGAACATTGCATCATCCTAGAAAACTTGGAGGCCAGTGAGGACAAAAATAAAGTTATAAGACTTTTAAAAATGTGGATATTTGGGTCCTCTTTGGCGCCCCCTAAAACGTAAACCGTGGGGTGCAGCGTCATGATTTTTACAACTTTGAATGGCCATGGAGTGTAGATTGGCCTGAGCAAATTTGGTGTCAGTGGGACGAAAGCCTTAGGAGGACTTAGCGAAATTCCAATGTGTGCGAATCGCCAAAAAATGCAAAATAGCCCTTTAACTGTACATTTTACACTTACGTGCCCATTGACTTTTTCATAGATCTTATTGAGATACACGTGATAGTCAAATTTTTTGTCAATATGACAAAGCGTAAAGGCATGACACTCAACAACGTGTATTTTCACCTTTCGGGATAAGAAAAAATGGACTTTTTTCTCCTGCCATGGGGGCGCGCTCTTTTGGCGAGTAAAAATTCCTTCACAAATGTGTTAATTGCTGGACATTGCATCATCTTAGAGAACTTGGAGGCCAGTGAGGACAAAAATAAAAAGTTATAAGACTTTTAAGACTGTGGATTTTTGGGTTATCTTTGGCGCCCCCTAGAACCTAAACCATGGGGTGCAGCATCATGATTTGTACAACTTTGAATGGCCATGGGGTGTAGATTGGCCTGAGCAAATTTGGTGCCGGTGGAACGAAAGCCTTCGGAGGAGTTAGCAAAATTCCAATGTGTGCGGATCTGCAAAAAATGCAAAAATAACCCTTTAACCGTACATTTGACAGATACGCCCGCACTGACTTTTTTGTAGATCTTATTGAGATACATGTGTGTGTCAATTTTTGTGTCAATATGACAAAGCGTACAGGCGTGACACTCAATCATGTGAATTTTTCACCTTAGGGGGCGCTGTGGAGCCATTTTGCATTTGATTGTTTGGCTGACTTCAGAATATCGAATTTTTCACCAGGCCCGGTCGTCGTGCCAAATTTCATGAGTTTTCACCAGTGGGAAGTGGGCCATTTTCCAGTTCAAAGGGGCAGAAAAATAACTAGGGCCCCGTTGGGGCACTGGCGGGCCCGAGCCGTGTCGCGCCGCCCCCAGCGCGACCGCCTACCCCTCCCGATCGCGTCACACTCAAGGTCCAAAGATGGTGTGCGCACTTGTCTGTGGTCATTTACCATTATAATGAATGGGAGGCGCAGTTTCTACCAAAACGCTCGCTGCAGACAAACTCCATGTCCTTTTTGAAAAAATTCTGGACCAGGAGTGAGGGCACAAACACAGCTAGTATATATCCAAATGGCAAGTTGCTCCTCCTTTCGGTTTTGCCGAGAGAGCGATGCGTTTGAGCCATTGAGCGATGGGCAGGAAAAACTTGACTTTTTCCCCTGCCATGGGGGGGCGCTCTTATGGGGAGAAAAAATTCCTTCACAAATGTGTTGACGACTGAACATTGCATCATCCTAGAAAACTTGGAGGCCAGTGAGGACAAAAATAAAGTTATAAGACTTTTAAAAATGTGGATATTTGGGTTATCTTTGGCGCCCCCTAAAACGTAAACCGTGGGGTGCAGCGTCATGATTTTTACAACTTTGAATGGCCATGGAGTGTAGATTGGCCTGAGCAAATTTGGTGTCAGTGGGACGAAAGCCTTAGGAGGACTTAGCGAAATTCCAATGTGTGCGAATCGCCAAAAAATGCAAAATAGCCCTTTAACTGTACATTTTACACTTACGTGCCCATTGACTTTTTCATAGATCTTATTGAGATACACGTGATAGTCAAATTTTTTGTCAATATGACAAAGCGTAAAGGCATGACACTCAACAACGTGTATTTTCACCTTTCGGGATAAGAAAAAATGGACTTTTTTCTCCTGCCATGGGGGGGCGCTCTTTTGGCGAGTAAAAATTCCTTCACAAATGTGTTAATTGCTGGACATTGCATCATCTTAGAGAACTTGGAGGCCAGTGAGGACAAAAATAAAAAGTTATAAGACTTTTAAGACTGTGGATTTTTGGGTTATCTTTGGCGCCCCCTAGAACCTAAACCATGGGGTGCAGCATCATGATTTGTACAACTTTGAATGGCCATGGGGTGTAGATTGGCCTGAGCAAATTTGGTGCCGGTGGAACGAAAGCCTTCGGAGGAGTTAGCAAAATTCCAATGTGTGCGGATCTGCAAAAAATGCAAAAATAACCCTTTAACCGTACATTTGACAGATACGCCCGCACTGACTTTTTTGTAGATCTTATTGAGATACATGTGTGTGTCAATTTTTGTGTCAATATGACAAAGCGTACAGGCGTGACAGTCAATAGTGTGAATTTTCACCTTAGGGGGCGCTATGGAGCCATTTTGCATTTTATTGTTTGGGCGACTTCAGAATATCGAATTTTTCACCAGGCCCGGTCGTCCTGCCAAATTTCCTGAGTTTTCGCCAGTGGGAAGTGGGCCATTTTCCAGTTTAAAGCGGAGGAAAAATAACTAGGGCCCCGGTGGGGCACTGTCGGGCCCGAGCCGCGTCGCGCCGCCCCCAGCGCGACCGCCTCCCCCCCCCGATCGTGTCACACTCAAGGTCCAAAGATGGTGTGCGCACTTGTCTGTGGTCATTTCCCATTATAATGAATGGGAGGCGCAGTTTCTACCAAAACACTCGCTGCAGACAAACTACATGTCCTATTTGAAAAAAGTCTGGACCATGAGTGAGGGCACAAACACAGCTAGGATATATCCAAACGGCAAGTTGCTCCTCGTTACGGTGTTGCCGGGAGAGCGATGCGATTGAGCCATTGAGTGATGGGCAGGAAAAACTTGACTGTTTCTCCTGCCATGGGGGATGGCGGATGGGGGGGGTGTGGATTCTTTTAAGAATGTGGATATTTGGGTCATCTTTGGCGCCCCCTAGAACGTAAATCGTGGGGTGCAGCGTCATGATTTTTACAACTTTGAATGGCCATGGGGTGTAGATTGACCTGAGCAAATTTGGTGTCAGTGGGACGAAAGCCTTAGGAGGAGTTAGCCACATTCCAATGTGTGCGAATCGGCAAAAAATGCAAAATAGCCCTTTAACCGTACATTTTACAGATACGCGTGCATTGACTTTTTCGTAGATCTTATTGAGACACACGTGATTGTCAAATTTTGTGTCAATATGACAAAGCGTACAGGCGTGGCACTCAACAATATGTATTTTCACCTTAGGGGACAAGAAAAAATGGACTTTTTTCTCCTGCCATGGGGGGGCGCTCTTTTGGGGAGTAAAAATTCCTTCACAAATGTGTTGATGGCTGGACATTGCATCATCCTAGAGAACTTGGAGGCCAGTGAGGACAAAAATAAAAAGTTATAAGACTTTTAAATATGTGGATTTTAGGGTTATATTTGGCGCCCCCTAGAACCTAAACCGTGGGGTGCAGCATCATGATTTGAATAACTTTTAATGGCCATGGGGTGTAGATTGGCCTGAGCAAATGTGGTGCCGGTGGAACAAAAGCCTTCGGAGGAGTTAGCGAAATTCCAATGTGTGCGCATCGGCAAAAAATGCGAAATAACCCTTTAACCGTACATTTGACAGATACGCGCGTGTTGACTTTTTCGTAGATCTTATTGAGTTACATGTGTGTGTCAATTTTTGTGTCATTTTGACAAAGCGTATAGGCGTGACACTCAACAATGTGTATTTTCACCTTAGGGGACAAGAAAAAATGGACTTTTTTCTCCTGCCATGGGGGGGCGCTCTTTTGGGGAGTAAAAATTCCTTCACAAATGTGTTGATGGCTGGACATTGCATCATCCTAGAAAACTTGGAGGCCAGTGAGGACAAAAATAAAAAGTTATAAGACTTTTAAATATGTGGATTTTAGTGTTATCTTTGGCGCCCCCTAGAACCTAAACCTTGGGGTGCAGCGTCATGATTTTGATAACTTTTAATGGCCACGGGGTGTAGATTGGCCTGAGCAAATGTGGTGCCGGTGGAACGAAAGCCTTCGGAGGAGTTAGCGAAATTCCAATGTGTGCGGATCGGCAAAAAATGCGAAATAACCCTTTAACCGTAATTTTGACAGATACGGCCGCACTGACTTTTTTGTAGATCTTATTGAGATACATATGTGTGTCAATTTTTGTGTCAATATGACAAAGCGTACAGGCGTGACAGTCAATAGTGTGAATTTCCACCTTAGGGGGCGCTATGGAGCCATTTTGCATTTTATTGTTTGGGCGACTTCAGAATATCGAATTTTTCACCAGGCCCGGTCGTCCTGCCAAATTTCATGAGTTTTCGCCAGTGGGAAGTGGGCCATTTTCCAGTTCAAAGGGGAGGAAAAAGAAGAAAGAAAGAACTAGGGCCCCGTTGGGGCACTGGCGGGCCCGAGCCGTGTCGCGCTGCCCCCCCCCCAACGCGCTGCCTCCCCGTCCCATTCGTGTCCTCTGGCCATCGCCCTCTCTGGTAACGCCCATCACTGCAAAGACCCTTTCCTTCATCAGCGTTTGCTGTTCTTCCTGCCAGTGCGTGTTGCTTTCACTTACACTTGCCACAGCCAGCCTCGTGAGTGCCTAGCCTATTGGATATCACTGTCATCTACACAGGACAGTCATAACCTTTCTATTAATACTTGTTTTTTAATTTCACATTAATTTCAATATTGTATAAATGACTGGAAAAAACTTGAGCCCCTGCCCCTGTATAATCATGTGCACGTCCCTGTTCTAGCTCCAAGGTGAATCTTCACTGCTCATGTTCTCCTCAGAAGTAGTCACCTCACTCCCCTCAGGTGACTATACACATGCACCAACTGCCTGCTTCAGGTTTGGATGGAGCTTCATGGTTGTCTTTTGGAGAAATGAGCAGTCAAGTTGTGTTTGAAATTTGATTTTTTTCAGGGGCAAAAAGGGGCCTCTGCATTCTAGTCAAATATGTAAATAGCATGTTTTTGCAGGTGCTAAAAAAAGACTCTGAGTGTGTGTGTGTGTATATCCTGCAGTACTCTGAGAAGAATAATAAGCATATTTCTGAGGTGAATTTTGAAGATTCATCTGAGAGTTAGGAGGGCTGATCATTCCCTTACCTTTTAGATGTCTGTCTATGTCTGTTTTTGTGTGATAATGAAAGAATCCCAACTCAAAAAGGCTCTGTTGATGTTTTTTTTTTGTTGTTGTTCATTCATATTCAAACCACTATTTTATATCACTGCTAATACGCCAAGACCATTTTATGGAATTTAGCTTTATTATTTCTATACATTTTGCAAGGAAAGAAACCAAGGCCTTCACTAAAATTTCCATAAACTTTAGGAAAGGACCTCTGGTTGTTTAACGGGGTCATTACTGCAAAAACATATTCTTCCTAAATTTTGAAGGTCAAACCTTAGATCCATTAGGTTTAAATAGAAAAAGCATTAAAATATGTTAGGATTATAGCATATGACAAATATGTGCCTTTCAGTGGCCACAACTACTTTGTCTGCTGGCTCTGCAGTCGATTGACGCTCCCCAGCGTTCAAGTCACATTACATATTTAACCGGATGTAGCTGCAAGACGGAGCCTCGTTGACTCTCCGTTTCAACTTATCTCAAAAGTGAGGACCTCAAACTATATACCAGTTTTTAAATTGTGTTGATAGGCCAAATAAAACCAGAGTTATGATAAATTATGTCCGCGATACTTTTTTTCTGCTTATTTTGATCACGTTCGGCGCTCGATCCCGCTGTATGAGACAGGAAAACATAGCATGCAGACATTAGCGACAGCTCTTACAGGCGGAAAAGGCTTGCCAAAGGAAAAAAAAAACACACCACAACATCTCTCCTATTGGTGGAAAACTTCACCACAACAACCAATCCAAAATTATATGGTGACTGATTGACAAGGGGCGGGCGCTTACGTTCTTCCTGCAACATGAGAAGGGAGGGAGGGACTCTCAGCAGGGATGCAGTCTGGGACACGTAGTTGCAAACCTAGCGACTTTGTTGTTAGATTCAATGACTTTTCAGACCCCCTAACGACTTTTTTTTAGAAAGAAAGGGACTTTTATCGACTTCTTCTGGAGTTTAGAGACTCTGACATGAAGCAGGCTTTCCTTACTGAGGAGTTAGCAACGCTGCTAAGGGTGCAGAGCCACACATGCGCTCCGAGCTCTGCATGGGAGACTGAAGCTGACAGAGCTGCAGCAGTTAGCAGGTTTCACCCTCAGAGACCACCAGGGGTTCATGTTGAGGCATTTTAATTTTTTTTTTTTTGTGCCATAGACACTGTCAGCACAATCTGCAGTTACACTAACAAAAATGCTGCAAAAAACAAAGAATTATGGAAAAATTACACATGGACTGACATAGAGGAGGATCTACACAAGTTTTTTACATCATGTTTTACATCATGCATCATTTACATCATGTTTTTTTGTAGTGGCATAAATAAAAAGTGACATTTGTGAGACTATACAGTGTTTTGTAAATAATTTTACAAAGAACGCCTGGGCCATTGCCTGCATTTTGATGTAAATAGAGGTAAATAACTATGTTCTTTGTTAAAAATTTGCATATGTTTTGAAGTTTACAATTTTTATTTGAAGTTTAAGTTTTAAAAACAGTTCATCACACATAATTGTGGTTTAATTTCACATTAATTTCCATATTGTATAAATGACTGGAAAAAACTTGAGCCCCTGCCCCTGTATAATCATGTGCACGTCCCTGTTCTAGCTCCAAGGTGAATCTTCACTGCTCATGTTCTCCTCAGAAATAGTCACCTCACTCCCCTCAGGTTACTGTACACATGCACCAACTATCTGCTTCAGGTTTGGATGGAGCCTCATGGTTGTCTTTTGGAGAAATGAACAGTCAAGTTGTGTTTGAAATTTGATTTTTTTCAGGGGCAAAAGGAAGCCTCTGCATTCTTGTCAAATATGTAAACAGCATGTTTTTGCAGGTGCTAAAAAACAGACTCTGAGTGTGTGTGTGTGTGTGTGTGTGTGTGTGTGTGTGTGTGTGTGTGTATGTTGGCGTGTGTGTATATGTGTGTGTATCCTGCAGTACTCTGTACTCCTGCAGTGGCCAAAAAGACTTTTAAGAATGTGGATTTTTGGGTCATCTTTGGCGCCCCCTAGAACTGCAGTACTCTGTACTCCTGCAGTGGCCAAAATGACTTTTAAGAATGTGGATTTTTGGGTCATCTTTGGCGCCCCCTAGAACGTAAACCGTGGGGTGCAGCGTCATGATTTTTACAACTTTGAATGGGCATGGGGTGTAGATTGCCCTGAGCAAATTTGGTATCGGTGGGACGAAAGCCTTAGGAGGAGATAGCCACATTCCAATGTGTGCGAATCGGCAAAAAATGCAAAATAGCCCTTTAACCGTACATTATACAGATACGCGCTCTTTGACTTTTTCGTAGATCTAATTGAGATACACATGATTGTCAATTTTTGTGTCAATATGACAAAGCGTTCAGGCGTGACACTCAACAATGTGTATTTTTATGTAAGGGGACAAGAAAAAATTGACTTTTTTCTCCTACCATGGGGGGGCGCTCTTTTGGGGAGTAAAAATTCCTTCACAAATGTGTTGATGGCTGGACATTGCATCATCCTAGAAAACTTGGAGGCCAGTGAGGACAAAAATAAAAAGTTATAAAACATTTAAGAATGTGGATTTTTGGGTTATTTTTGGCGCCCCCTAGAACCTAAACCATGGGGTGCAGCATCATGATTTGAATAACTTTTAATGGCCATGGGGTGTAGATTGGCCTGAGCAAATGTGGTGCCGGTGGAACGAAAGCCTTCGGAGGAGTTAGCGAAATTCCAATGTGTGCGGATCGGCAAAAAATGCGGAATAACCCTTTAACTGTACATTTGACAGATACGCGCGCATGGACTTTTTTGTAGATCTTATTGAGTTACATGTGTGTGTCAATTTTTGTGTCATTTTGACAAAGCGTATAGGCGTGACACTCAACAATGTGTATTTTCACCTTAGGGGACAAGAAAAAATGGACTTTTTTCTCCTGCCATGGGGGGGCGCTCTTTTGGGGAGTAAAAATTCCTTCACAAATGTGTTGATGGCTGGACATTGCATCATCCTAGAAAACTTGGAGGCCAGTGAGGACAAAAATAAAAAGTTATAAGACTTTTAAATATGTGGATTTTAGTGTTATCTTTGGCGCCCCCTAGAACCTAAACCTTGGGGTGCAGCGTCATGATTTTGATAACTTTTAATGGCCACGGGGTGTAGATTGGCCTGAGCAAATGTGGTGCCGGTGGAACGAAAGCCTTCGGAGGAGTTAGCGAAATTCCAATGTGTGCGGATCGGCAAAAAATGCGAAATAACCCTTTAACCGTAATTTTGACAGATACGGCCGCACTGACTTTTTTGTAGATCTTATTGAGATACATGTGTGTGTCAATTTTTGTGTCAATATGACAAAGCGTACAGGCGTGACAGTCAATAGTGTGAATTTCCACCTTAGGGGGCGCTATGGAGCCATTTTGCATTTTATTGTTTTGGCGACTTCAGAATATCGAATTTTTCACCAGGCCCTGTCGTCCTGCCAAATTTCATGAGTTTTCGCCAGTGGGAAGTGGGCCATTTTCCAGTTCAAAGGGGAGGAAAAAGAAAAAAGAAAGAAAGAAACAAAGAAAAACCACTTGGGGAATAATAGGGCCTACGCCCGGCTGCTCTGCAGCTGGCTCGGGCCCTAAAGAACTAGGACCCCGGTGGGGCACTGTCGGGCCCGAGCCGCGTTGCGCCGCCCCCAGCGCGACCGCCTCCCCCTCCCGATCGCGTCACACTCAAGGTCCAAAGATGGTGTGCGCACTTGTCTGTGGTCATTTCCCATTATAATGAATGGGAGGCGCAGTTTCTACCAAAACACTTGCTGCAGACAAACTTCATGTCCTATTTGAAAAAAGGCTGGACCATGAGTGAGGGCACAAACACAGCTGGGATATATCCAAATGGCAGGTTGCTCCTCGTTACGGTGTTGCCTGGAGAGCGATGCGATTGAGCCATTGAGCGATGGGCAGGAAAAACTTGACTTTTTCTCCTGCCATGGGGGGGGGGGGGGGGGGGGATGTGGATTCTTTTAAGAATGTGGATTTTTTGGTCATCTTTGGCGCCCCCTAGAACGTAAACCGTGGGGTGCAGCGTCATGATTTGTACAACTTTGAATGGCCATGGGGTGTAGATTGGCCTGAGCAAATTTGGTTTCAGTGGGACGAAAGCCTTAGGAGGAGTTAGCCACATTCCAATGTGTGCGAATCGGCAAAAAATGCAAAATAGCCCTCTAACCATACATTTGACAGATACGCACCCATTGACTTTTTCGTAGATCTTATTGAGATACACGTGTGTGTCAAATTTTGTGTCAATATGACAAAGCGTACAGGTGTCACACTCAACAATGTGAATTTTCACCTTACGGGACAAGAAAAAATGGACTTTTTTCTCCTGCCATGGGGGGGCGCTCTTTTGGGGAGTAAAAATTCCTTCACAAATGTGTTGATGGCTGGACATTGCATCATCCTAGAAAACTTGGAGGCCAGTGAGGACAAAAATAAAAAGTTATAAGACTTTGAAATATGTGGATTTTAGGGTTATCTTTGGCGCCCCCTAGAACCTAAACCGTGGGGTGCAGCGTCATGATTTGAATAACTTTTAATGGCCATGGGGTGTAGATTGGCCTGAGCAAATGTGGTGCCGGTGGAACGAAAGCCTTCGGAGGAGTTAGCGAAATTCCAATGTGTGCGGATCAGCAAAAAATGCGGAATAACCCTTTAACCGTACATTTGACAGATACGCCCGCACTGACTTTTTTGTAGATCTTATTGAGATACATGTGTGTGTCAATTTTTGTGTCATTTTGACAAAGCGTACCGGCGTGACAGTGAATAGTGTGAATTTTCACCTTAGGGGGCGCTATGGAGCCATTTTGCATTTTCTTGTTTGGGCGACTTCGGAATATCAAATTTTTCACCAGGCCCGGTCGTCCTGCCAAATTTCATGAGTTTTCGCCAGTGGGAAGTGGGCCATTTTCCAGTTCAAAGGGGAGGAAAAATAATAACTAGGGCCCCGGTGGGGCACTGTCGGGCCCGAGCCGCGTTGCGCCGCCCCCAGCGCGACCGCCTCCCCCACCCGATCGCGTCACACTCAAGGTCCAAAGATGGTGTGCGCACTTGTTTGTGGTCATTTACCATTATAATGAACGGGAGGCGCAGTTTCTACCAAAACGCTCGCTGCAGAAAAACTCCATGTCCTATTTGAAAAAAGTCTGGACCATGAGTGAGGGCAAAAACACAGCTAAGATATATCCAAATGGCAAGTTGCTCCTCCTTTCGCTTTTGCCGAGAGAGCAGTGCGTTTGAGCCATTGAATGATGAACAGGAAAAACTTGACTTTATTCTCCTGCCATGGGGGGGGCGCTCTTTTAACGAGAAAAAACTCCTTCACAAATGTGTTGATGGCTGGACATTGCATCATCCTAGAAAACATGGAGGCCAGTGAGGACAAAAATAAAAAGTTATAAGACTTTTAAATATGTGGATTTTAGGGTTATCTTTGGCGCCCCCTAGAACCTAAACCGTGGGGTGCAGCGTCATGATTTGAATAACTTTTAATGGCCATGGGGTGTAGATTGGCCTGAGCAAATGTGGTGCCGGTGGAACGAAAGCCTTCGGAGGAGTTAGCGAAATTCCAATGTGTGCGAATCTGCAAAAAATGCGAAATAACCCTTTAACCGTACATTTTACAGATACGTGGCCATTGACTTTTTTGAAGATCTTATTGAAAGACACGTGTATGTAAAATTTTGTGTCAATACAACAAAACATACAGGCGTAGCACTCAACAATGTGTATTTTCACCTTAGTGGACAAGAAAAAATGGACTTTTTTCTCCTGCCATGGGGGGGCGCTCTTTTGGCGAGTAAAAATTCCTTCACAAATGTGTTGATGGCTGGACATTGCATCATCCTAGAAAACTTGGAGGCCAGTGGGGACAAAAATAAAAAGTTATAAGACTTTTAAATATGTGGATTTTACGGTTATCTTTGGCGCCCCCTAGAACCTAAACCGTGGGGTGCAGCGTCATGATTTGAATAACTTTTAATGGCCATGGGGTGTAGATTGGCCTGAGAAAATGTGGTGCCGGTGGAACGAAAGCCTTCGGAGGAGTTAGCGAAATTCCAATGTGTGCGGATCGGCAAAAAATGCGGAATAACCCTTTAACCGTACATTTGACAGATACGTGCGCATTGACTTTTTTGTAGATCTTATTGAGATACATGTGTGTCTCAATTTTGGTGTCATTTTGCCAAAGCGTACAGGTGTTACACTCAACAATGTGTATTTTCACCTTAGGGGACAAGAAAAAATGGACTTTTTTCTCCTGCCATGGGGGGGCGCTCTTTTGTGGAGTAAAAATTCCTTCACAAATGTGTTGATGGCTGGACATTGCATCATCCTAGAAAACTTGGAGGCCAGTGAGGGCAAAAATAAAAAGTTATAAGACTTTTAAATATGTGGATCTTAGGGTTATCTTTGGCGCCCCCTAGAACCTAAACCGTGGGGTGCAGCGTCATGATTTGAATAACTTTTAATGGCCATGGGGTGTAGATTGGCCTGAGCATATGTGGTGCCGGTGGAACGAAAGCCTTCGGAGCAGTTAGCGAAATTCCAATGTGTGCGGATCGGCAAAAAATGCGAAATAACCCTTTAACCGTACATTTGACAGATACGCCCGCACTGACTTTTTTGTAGATCTTATTGAGATACATGTGTGTGTCAATTTTTGTGTCATTTTGACAAAGCGTACAGGCGTGACAGTCAATAGTGTGAATTTTCACCTTAGGGGGCGCTATGGAGCCATTTTGCATTTTCTTGTTTGGGCGACTTCGGAATATCAAATTTTTCACCAGGCCCAGTCGTCCTGCCAAATTTCATGAGTTTTCGCCAGTGGGAAGTGGGCCATTTTCCAGTTCAAAGGGGAGGAAAAATAATAACTAGGACCCCGTTGGGGCACTGGCGGGCCCGAGCCGTGTCGCCCCCCCCCCAACGCGCTGCCTCCCCGTCCCATTTGTGTCCTCTGGCCATCGCCCTCTCTGGTAACGCCCATCACTGCAAAGACCCTTTTCCTTCATCGGCGTTTGCTGTTCTTCCTGCCAGTGCGTGTTGCTTTCACTTACACTTGCCACAGCCAGCCTCGTGAGTGCCTAGCCTATTGGATATCACTGTCACCTACACAGGACAGTCATTACCTTTCTATTAATACTTTGTGTTTTAATTTCACATTAATTTCCATATTGTATAAACGACTGGAAAAAACTTGAGCCCCTGCCCCTGTATAATCATGTGCATGTCTCTGTTCTAGCTCCAAGGTGAATCTTCACTGCTCATGTTCTCCTCAGAAATAGTCACCTCACTCCCCTCAGGTTACTGTACACATGCACCAACTATCTGCTTCAGGTTTGAAATGGAGCTTCATGGTTGTCTTTTGGAGAAATGAACAGTCAAGTTGTGTTTGAAATTTGATTTTTTTCAGGGGCAAAAGGAAGCCTCTGCATTCTTGTCAAATATGTAACAGCATGTTTTTGCAGGTGCTAAAAAACAGACTCTGAGTGTGTGTGTGTGTGTGTGTGTGTGTGTGTGTGTGTGTGTGTGTGTGTGTGTGTGTGTGTGTATGTTGGCGTGTGTGTATATGTGTGTGTATCCTGCAGTACTCTGTACTCCTGCAGTGGCCAAAAAGACTTTTAAGAATGTGGATTTTTGGGTCATCTTTGGCGCCCCCTAGAACTGCAGTACTCTGTACTCCTGCAATGGCCAAAATGACTTTTAAGAATGTGGATTTTTGGGTCATCTTTGGCGCCCCCTAGAACGTAAACCGTGGGGTGCAGCGTCATGATTTTTACAACTTTGAATGGGCATGGGGTGTAGATTGCCCTGAGCAAATTTGGTATCGGTGGGACGAAAGCCTTAGGAGGAGATAGCCACATTCCAATGTGTGCGAATCGGCAAAAAATGCAAAATAGCCCTTTAACCGTACATTATACAGATACGCGCTCTTTGACTTTTTCGTAGATCTAATTGAGATACACATGATTGTCAAATTTTGTGTCAATATGACAAAGCGTACAGGTATGACAGTCAACAATGTGTTTTTTCACCTTATGGGACAAGAAAAAATGGACTTTTTTCTCCTGCCATGGGGGGGGGCGCTCTTTTGGGGAGTAAAAATTCCTTCACAAATGTGTTGATGGCTGGACATTGCATCATCCTAGAAAACTTGGAGGCCAGTGAGGACAAAAATAAAAAGTTATAAGACTTTGAAATATGTGGATTTTAGGGTTATCTTTGGCGCCCCCTAGAACCTAAACCGTGGGGTGCAGCGTCATGATTTGAATAACTTTTAATGGCCATGGGGTGTAGATTGGCCTGAGCAAATGTGGTGCCGGTGGAACGCCAGCCTTAGGAGGAGTTAGCGAAATTCCAATGTGTGCGGATCAGCAAAAAATGCGGAATAACCCTTTAACCGTACATTTGACAGATACGCGTGCATTGACTTTTTCGTAGATCTTATTGAGATACATGTGTGTGTCAAATTTTGTGTCAATATGACAAAGCGTACAGGCGTGACACTCAACAATGTGTATTTTCACCTTAGGGGACAAGAAAAAATGGACTTTCTTCTCCTGCCATGTGGGGGCGCTCTTTTGGGGATTAAAAATTCCTTCACAAATGTGTTGATGGCTGGACATTGCATCATCCTAGAAAACTTGGAGGCCAGTGAGGGCAAAAATAAAAAGTTATAAGACTTTTAAATATGTGGATTTTAGTGTTATTTTTGGCGCCCCCTAGAACCTAAACCTTGGGGTGCAGCGTCATGATTTGAATAACTTTTAATGGCCATGGGGTGTAGATTGGCCTGAGCAAATGTGGTGCCGGTGGAACGAAAGCCTTCGGAGGAGTTAGCGAAATTCCAATGTGTGCGGATCGGCAAAAAATGCGAAATAACCCTTTAACCGTAAATTTGACAGATACGCCCGCACTGACTTTTTTGTAGATCTTATTGAGATACATGTGTGTGTCAATTTTTGTGTCATTTTGACAAAGCGTACAGGCGTGACAGTCAATAGTGTGAATTTTCACCTTAGGGGGCGCTATGGAGCCATTTTGCATTTTATTGTTTGGGCGACTTCAGAATATCAAATTTTTCACCAGGCCCGGTCGTCCTGCCAAATTTCATGAGTTTTCGCCAGTGGGAAGTGGGCCATTTTCCAGTTCAAAGGGGAGGAAAAATAATAATAATTAGGGGGCGCTATGGAGCCATTTTGCATTTTATTGTTTGGGCGACTTCAGAATATCGAATTTTTCACCAGGCCCGGTCGTCCTGCCAAATTTCATGAGTTTTCGCCAGTGGGAAGTGGGCCATTTTCCAGTTCAAAGGGGAGGAAAAAGAAGAAAGAAAGAAAGAAAGAAAGAAAGAAAGAAAGAAACAAAGAAAAACCACTTGGGGAATAATAGGGCTCTCGCAGCTGCTTAGCAGCTACGCTCGGGCCCTAATAATAATAACAAAAGAAGGAAACATGCAGGAACAAGAGGGCTCTCGCAGCTGCTTAGCAGCTACGCTCGGGCCCTAATAATAATAATAACAAAAGAAGGAAACATGCAGGAACAAGAGGGCTCTCGCAGCTGCTTAGCAGCTACGCTCGGGCCCTAAAGAAACAAAGAAAAACCACTTGGGGAATAATAGGGCTCTCGCAGCTGCTTAGCAGCTACGCTCGGGCCCTAATAATAATAACAAAAGAAGAATCCATCAGGAACAAGAGGGCTCTCGCAGCTGCTTAGCAGCTACGCTCGGGCCCTAAAGAAGGAAACATGCAGGAACAAGAGGGCTCTCGCAGCTGCTTAGCAGCTACGCTCGGGCCCTAAAGAAGAATCCATCAGGAACAAGAGGGCTCTCGCAGCTGCTTAGCAGCTACGCTCGGGCCCTAAAAAGAAGGAAACATGCAGGAACAAGAGGGCTCTCGCAGCTGCCCTGCCCCTGTATAATCATGTGCCCGTCTCTGTTCTAGCTCCAAGGTGAATCTTCACTGCTCATGTTCTCCTCAGAAGCAGTCACCTCACTCCCCTCAGGTTATTGTACACATGCACCAACTGCCTGCTTCAGGTTTGGATGGAGCTTCATGGTTGTCTTTTGGAGAAATGACCAGTCAAGTTGTGTTTGAAATTTGATTTTTTCAGGGGCAAAAGGAGCCTCTGCATTCTTGTCAAATATGTAAATAGCATGTTTTTGCAGGTGCTAAAAACCAGACTCTGAGTGTGTGTGTGTGTGTGTGTGTGCGTGTGTGTGTGTGTGTGTGCGTTCAAGTCACATGACATATTTAACCGGATGTAGCTGCAAGACGGAGCCTCGTTGACTCTCCGTTTCAACTTATCTCAAAAGTGAGGACCTCAACCTATATACCAGTTTTTAAATTGTGTTGATAGGCCAAATAAAACCAGAGTTATGATAAATTATGTCCGCAATACTTTTTTTCTGCTTATTTTGATCACGTTCGGCGCTCGATCGCGCTGTATGAGACAGGAAAACATAGCATGCAGACATTAGCGACAGGTCTTACAGGCAGAAAAGGCTTGCCAAAGGAAAAAAACACACCACAACATCTCTCCTATTGGTGGAAAACTTCACCACAACAACCAATCCAAAATTATATGGTGACTGATTGACAAGGGGCGGGCGCTTACGTTCTTCCTGCAATATGAGAAGGGAGGGAGGGACTCTCAGCAGGGATGCAGTCTGGGACACGTAGTTGCAAACCTAGCGACTTTGTTGTTAGATTCAATGACTTTTCAGACCCCCTAACGACTTTTTCTTAGAAAGAAAGGGACTTTTATCGACTTCTTCTGGAGTTTAGAGACTCTGACATGAAGCAGGCTTTCCTTACTGAGGAGTTAGCAACGCTGCTAAGGGTGCAGAGCCACACATGCGCTCCGAGCTCTGCATGGGAGACTGAAGCTGACAGAGCTGCAGCAGTTAGCAGGTTTCACCCTCAGAGACCACCAGGGGTTCATGTTGAGGCATTTTCAGTTTTTTTTTTTTTTTGTGCCATAGACACTGTCAGCACAATCTGCAGTTACACTAACAAAAATGCTGCAAAAAACAAAGAATTATGGAAAAATTACACATGGACTGACATAGAGGAGGATCTACACAAGTTTTTTACATCATGTTTTACATCATGCATCATTTACATCATGTTTTTTTGTAGTGGCATAAATAAAAAGTGACATTTGTGAGACTATACAGTGTTTTGTAAATAATTTTACAAAGAACGCCTGGGCCATTGCCTGCATTTTGATGTAAATAGAGGTAAATTACTATGTTCTTTGTTAAAAATTTGCATATGTTTTGAAGTTTACAATTTTTATTTGAAGTTTAAGTTTTAAAAACAGTTCATCACACATATTTGTGGTTTTCACAGTAAAAACGTTACTTTTTTCCACTCGGATTTTATGTTTTGTGTGTGAATTTGGGTCCAATGTGTAAATATAGTATGTCAAAATGATAAAATAACTGTAAATTGACACAGGTGAGGTTGTGCTGAAAAAAATGATACCAGGCAAGGCAAGGTAAAAATTTTGTAAGAGGAAATATAAAGGTAAAATCTAAAGTAGTCAAAAACGGCCAATAGTGACTCACAGACTCCACAGACAAGTCCCTTTGGCGCCACTCAGTGGGCAAAACTACTTTGTCTACTGTAATGAATATTTGGGTCATCTTTGGCGCCCCCTAAAACGTAAACCGTGGGGTGCAGCGTCATGATTTTTACAACTTTGAATGGCCATGGAGTGTAGATTGGCCTGAGCAAATTTGGTGTCAGTGGGACGAAAGCCTTAGGAGGACTTAGCGAAATTCCAATGTGTGCGAATCGCCAAAAAATGCAAAATAGCCCTTTAACTGTACATTTTACACTTACGTGCCCATTGACTTTTTCATAAATCTTATTGAGATACACGTGATAGTCAAATTTTTTGTCAATATGACAAAGCGTAAAGGCATGACACTCAACAACGTGTATTTTCACCTTTCGGGATAAGAAAAAATGGACTTTTTTCTCCTGCCATGGGGGGGCGCTCTTTTGGGGAGTAAAAATTTCTTCACAAATGTGTTGATGGCTGGACATTGCATCATCCTAAAAAACTTGGAGGCCAGTATGGAAAAAAATAAAAAGTTAAAAGACTTTTAAGAATGTGGATTTTTGGGTTATATTTGGTGCCCCCTAGAACCCAAACCGTGAGGTGCAGCAAGATGATTTGTACAACTTTTAATGGCCATGGGGTGTAGATTGGCCTGAGCAAATTTGGTGCCGGTGGAAAGATAGCCTTCGGAGGAGTTAGCGAAATTCAAATGTGTGCGGATCGGCAAAAAATGCAAAATAGCCCTTTAACCGTACATTTGACAGATACATGCCCTTTGACTTTTTCGTAGATCTTATTGAGATACACGTGATTGTCAAATTTTGTGTCAATATGACAAAGCATACAGGCGTGACACTCGACAATGTGTATTTTCACCTTAGGAGACAAGAAAAAATGGACCTTTTTCTCCTGCCATTGGGGGGCGCTCTTTTGGGGAGTAAAAATTCCTTCACAAATGTGTTGATGGCTGGACATTGCATCATCCTAGAAAACTTGGAGGCCAGTGAGGACAAAAGTAAAAAGTTATAAGACTTTTAAGAATGTGGATTTTTGGGTTATCTCTGGCGCCCCCTAGAACGTAAACCGTGGGGTGCAGCGTCATGATTTGAATAACTTTTAATGGCCATGGGGGGTAGATTGGCCTGAGCAAATGTGGTGCCGGTCGAACGAAAGCCTTCAGAGGAGTTAGCGAAATTCCAATGTGTGCAGATCTGCAAAAAATGCAAAATAACCCATTAACCGTACATTTGACAGATACGCCCGTACTGACTTTTTTGTAGATCTTATTGAGATACATTTGTGTGTCAATTTTTGTGTCAATATGACAAAGCGTACAGCCGTCATGTGAATTTTCACCTTAGGGGGCGCTATGGAGCCATTTTGCATTTTATTGTTTGGGCGACTTCAGAATATCAAATTATTCACGAGGCCCGGTCGTCCTGCCAAATTTCCTGAGTTTTCGCTAGTGGGAAGTGGGCCATTTTCCAGTTTAAAGCGGAGGAAAAATAATAACAAACTAGGGCCCCGGTGGGGCACTGTCGGGCCCGAGCCGCGTCGCGCCGCCCCCAGCGCGACCGCCTCCCCCTCCCGATCGCGTCACACTCAAGGTCCAAAGATGGTGTGCGCACTTGTCTGTGGTCATTTCCCATTATAATGAATGGGAGGCACAGTTTCTACCAAAACACTCGCTGCAGACAAACTTCATGTCCTATTTGAAAAAAGTCTGGACCATGAGTGAGGGCACAAACACAGCTAGGATATATCCAAATGGCAGGTTGCTCCTCCTTACGGTGTTGCCGGGAGAGCGATGCGATTGAGCCATTGAGCGATGGGCAGGGTTAACTTGACTTTTTCTCCTGCCTTGGGGGGGGGGGGGGGTTCATTTAAGAATGTGGATATTTGGGTCATATTTGGCGCCCCCTAGAACGTAAACCGTGGGGTGCAGCGTCATGATTTGAGTAACTTTTAATGGCCATGGGGTGTAGATTGGCCTGAGCAAATGTGGTGCCGGTGGAACGAAAGCCTTCGGAGGAGTTAGCGAAATTCCAATGTGTGCGGATCGGCAAAAAATGCGAAATAGCTCTTTAACCGTACATTATACAGATACGCGCGCATTGACTTTTTCGAAGATCTTATTGAGATACACGTGATTGTCAAATTTTGTGTCAATATGACAAAGCGATAGGTGTCACACTCAACAATGTGAATTTTCACCTTAGGCGACAAGAAAAAATGGACTTTTTTCTCCTGCCATGGGGGGGGGGGCGCTCTTTTGGGGAGTAAAAATTCCTTCACAAATGTGTTGATGGCTGGACATTGCATCATCCTAGAAAACTTGGAGGCCAGTGAGGACAAAAATAAAAAGGTATAAGACTTTTAAATATGTGGATTTTAGGGTTATCTTTGGCGCCCCCTAGAACCTAAACCGTGGGGTGCAGCGTTATGATTTGAATAACTTTTAATGGCCATGGGGTGTAGATTGGCCTGAGCAAATGTGTTGCTGGTGGAACGAAAGCCTTCGGAGGAGTTAGCGAAATTCCAATGTGTGCAGATCGGCAAAAAATGCGGAATAACCCTTTAACTGTACATTTTACAGATACGCCCGCATTGACTTTTTTGTAGATCTTATTGAGATACATGTGTGTGTCAATTTTTGTGTCATTTTGCCAAAGCGTAGAGGCGTGACACTCAACAATGTGTATTTTCACCTTAGGCGACAAGAAAAAATGGACTTTTTTCTCCTGCCATGGGGGGGCGCTCTTTTGGGGAGTAAAAATTCCTTCACAAATGTGTTGATGGCTGGACATTGCATCATCCTAGAAAACTTGAAGGCCAGTGAGGACAAAAATAAAAAGTTATAAGTCTTTTAAATATGTGGATTTTAGGGTTATCTTTGGCGCCACCTAGAACGTGAACCGTGGGGTGCAGCGTCATGATTTGAATAACTTTTAATGGCCATGGGGTGTAGATTGGCCTGAGCAAATGTGGTGCCGGTGGTACAAAAGCCTTCGGAGGAGTTAGCGAAATTCCAATGTGTGCGGATCGGCAAAAAATGCGAAATAACCCTTTAACCGTACATTTGACAGATACGCCCGTACTGACTTTTTTGTAGATCTTATTGAGATACATGTGTGTGTCAATTTTTGTGTCATTTTGACAAAGCGTTCAGGCGTGACACTCAACAATGTGTATTTTCATGTAAGGGGACAAGAAAAAACTAGGGCCCCGTTGGGGCACTGGCGGGCTCGAGCTGTGTCCCCCCCCCCCCCCAACGCGCTGCCTCCCCGTCCCATTCGCGTCCTCTGGCCATCGTCCTCTCTGGTAATGCCCATCACTGCAAAGACCCTTTTCCTTCATCGGCGTTTGCTGTTCTTCCTGCCAGTGCGTGTTGCTTTCACTTACACTTGCCACAGCCAGCCTCGTGAGTGCCTAGCCTATTGGATATCACTGTCACCTACACAGGACAGTCGTTATCTTTCTATTAATACTTTGTTTTTTAATTTCACATTAATTTCCATAATGTCTAAACGACTGGAAAAAACTTGAGCCCCTGCCCCTGTATAATCATGTGCACGTCCCTGTTCTAGCTCCAAGGTGAATCTTCACTGCTCATGTTCTCCTCAGAAGCAGTCACCTCACTCCCCTCAGGTTACTGTACACATGCACCAACTGCCTGCTTCAGGTTTGGATGGAGCTTCATGGTTGTCTTTTGGAGAAATGAGCAGTCAAGTTGTGTTTGAAATTTCATTTTTTTCAGGGGCAAAAGGAAGCCTCTGCATTGTTGTCAAATATGTAAATAGCATGTTTTTGCAGGTGCTAAAAAACAGACTCTGAGTGTGTGTGTGTGTGTGTGTGTGTGTGTGTCTGTGTGTCTGTGTGTGTGTATCCTGCAGTACTCTGTACTCCTGCAGTGGCCAAAACGACTTTTAAGAATGTGGATATTTGGGTCATCTTTGGCGCCCCCTAGAACGTAAACCATGGGGTGCAGCGGCATGATTTTTACAACTTTGAATGGCCATGGGGTGTAGATTGGCCTGAGCAAATTTGGTGTCAGTGGGACGAAAGCCTTAGGAGGAGTTAGCCACATTCCAATGTGTGCGAATCGGCAAAAAATGCAATATAGCCCTTTAGCCGTACATTTTACAGATACGCGCTCATTGACTTTTTCATAGATCTTATTGAGATACACGTGTGTGTCAAATTTTTTGTCAATATGACAAAGTGTACAGGCGTGAATCTCAACAATGTGTATTTTCACCTTAGGGGACAAGAAAAAATTGACTTTTTTCTCCTGCCATGGGGGGGCGCTCTTTTGGGAAGTAAAAATTCCTTCACAAATGTGTTGATGGCTGGACATTGCATCATCCTAGAAAACTTGGAGGCCAGTGAGGACAAAAAAAAAAGTTATAAAACTTTTAAGAATGTGGATGTTAGGGTTATTTTTGGCGCCCCCTAGAACCTAAACCATGGGGTGCAGCATCATGATTTGTACAACTTTGAATGGCCATGGAGTGTAGATTGGCCTGAGCAAATGTGGTGCCGGTGAACCGAAAGCCTTCGGAGGAGTTAGCGAAATTCCAATGTGTGCGGATCTGCAAAAAATGCGAAATAACCCTTTAACCGTACATTTGACAGATACGCCCGCACTGACTTTTTTGTAGATCTTATTGAGATACATATGTGTGTCAATTTTTGTGTCAATATGACAAAGCATACAGGCGTGACAGTCAATAGTGTGAATTTTCACCTTAGGGGGCGCTATGGAGCCATTTTGTATTTTATTGTTTGGGCGACTTCAGAATATCGAATTTTTCACCAGGCCCGGTCGTCCTGCCAAATTTCCTGAGTTTTCGCCAGTGGGAAGTGGGCCATTTTCCAGTTTAAAGCGGAGGAAAAATAATAATAATAATAACACTAGGGCCCCGTTGGGGCACTGGCGGGCCCGAGCCGTGTCGCGCCGCCCCCAACACGACCGCCTCTCCCTACCAATCGCGTCACACTCAAGGTCCAAAGATGGTGTGCGCACTTGTCTGTGGTCATTTACAATTATAATGAATGGGAGGCGCAGTTTCTACCAAAACGCTCGCCGCAGACAAACTACATGTCCTATTTGAAAAGGACTGGACCATGAGTGAGGGCACAAACACAGCTAGGATATATCCAAATGGCAAGTTGCTCCTCCTTTCGGTTTTGCCGAGAGAGCGATGTGTTTGAGTCATTGAGCGATGGGCAGGAAAAACTTGACTTTTTCTCCTGCCATGGGGGGACGCTCTTTTAGGGAGTAAAAATTCCTTCACAAATGTGTTGATGGCTAGACATTGCATTATCCTAGAAAACTTGGAGGCCAGTGAGGACAAAAATAAAAAGTTATAAGACTTTTAAGAATGTGGATTTTTGGGTTATCTTTGGCGCCCCCTAGAACATAAACCGTGGGGTGCAGCGTCATGATTTTTACAACTTTGAATGGCCATGGGGTGTAGATTGGCCTGAGTAAATTTGGTGTCAGTGGAACGAAAGCTTTAGGAGGAGTTAGCCACATTCCAATGTGTGCGAATCAACCAAAAATGCGAAATAGCCCTTTAACCGTACATTTTACAGATACGCGCCCATTGACTATTTCGTAGATCTTATTGAGAAACACGTGATTGTCAAAGTTTGTTTCAATATGACAAAGCGTACAGGCGTGACACTCAATAAGGTGAATTTTCACCTTAGGGGGGAAGAAAAACTGGACTTTTTTCTCCTGCCATGGGGGGGGCGCTCTTTTGGGGAGTAAAAATTCCTTCACAAATGTGTTGATGGCTAGACATTGCATCATCCTAGAAAACTTGGAGGCCAGTGAGGACAAAAATAAAAAGTTATACGACTTTTAAGAATGTGGATTTCTGGGTTATCTTTGGCGCCCCCTAGAACGTAAACCGTGGGATGCAGCGTCATGATTTGTACAACTTTTAATGGCCATGGGGTGTAGATTGGCCTAAGCAAATTTGGTGCCGGTGGAACGAAAGCCTTCAGAGGAGTTAGCGAAATTCCAATGTGTGCGGATCGGAAAAAAATGCGAAATAGCCCTTTAACCGTACATTTGACAGATACGCCCGCACTGACTTTTTTGTAGATCTTATTGAGATACACGTGTGTGTCAAATTTTGTGTCATTTTGACAAAGCGTACAGGCGTGACACTCAATCATGTGAATTTTCACCTTAGGGGACAAGAAAAAAATGACTTTTTTCTCCTGCCATGGGGGGGCGCTCTTTTGGGGAGAAAAAATTCCTTCACAAATGTGTTGATGGCTGGACATTGCATCATCCTAGAAAACTTGGAGGCCAGTGAGGGCAAAAACAAAAAGTTATAAGACTTTTAAATATGAAGATTTTAGGGTTATCTTTGGCGCCCCCTAGAACTCAAACCGTGGGGTGCAGCGTCATGATTTGAATAACTATTAATGGCCATAGGGTGTAGATTGGCCTGAGCAAATGTTGTGCCGGTGGAACGAAAGCCTACGGAGGAGTTAGCGAAATTCCAATGTGTGCGGATCGCCAAAAAATGCGGAATAACCCTTTAACCGTACATTTGACAGATACATCCGCACTGACTTTTTTGTAGATCTTATTGAGATACATGTGTGTGTCAATTTTTGTGTCATTTTGACAAAGCGTACAGGCGTGACAGTGCATAGTGTGAGTTTTCACCTTAGGGGGCGCTATGGAGCCATTTTGCATTTTATTGTTTGGGCGACTTCAGAATATAAAGTTTTTCACCAGGCCCGGTCGTCCTGCCAAATTTCATGAGTTTTCGCCAGTGGGAAGTGGGCCATTTTCCAGTTCAAAGGGGAGGAAAAAGAAGAAAGAAAGAAAGAAAGAACTAGGGCCCCGGTGGGGCACTGTCGGGCCCAAGTCGCGTCGCGCCGCCCCCAGCGCGACCGCCTCCCCCCCCGATCGCGTCACACTCAAGGTCCAAAGATGGTGTGCGCACTTGTCTGTGGTCATTTCCCATTATAATGAATGGGAGGCGCAGTTTCTACCAAAACGGTCGCTGCAGACAAACTACATGTCCTATTTGAAAAAAGTCTGGACCATGAGTGAGGGCACAAACACAGCTAGGATATATCCAAATGGCAAGTTGCTCCTCCTTACGGTGTTGCCGGGAGAGCGATGCGATTGAGCCATTGAGCGATGGAAAGGGTTAACTTGACTTTTTCTCCTGCCTTGGGGGGGGGGGGGGGTGGATTCTTTTAAGAATGTGGATATTTGGGTCATCCTTGGCGCCCCCTAGAACGTAAACCGTGGGGTGCAGCGTCATGATTTTTACAACTTTGAATGGCCATGGGATGTAGATCGGCTTGAGCAAATTTGGTGTCGGTGGGACGAAAGCCTTAGGAGGAGTTAGCCACATTCCAATGTGTGCGGATCGGCAAAAAATGCGGAATAACCCTTTAACTGTACATTTTACAGATACGCCCGCATTGACTTTTTCATAGATCTTATTGAGATACACGTGATTGTTAAATTTTGTGTCAATATGACAAAGCGTACAGGCGTGAATCTCAACAATGTGTTTTTTCACCTTAGGGGACAAGAAAAAATTGACTTTTTTGTCCTGCCATGGGGGGGCGCTCTTTTGGGGAGTAAAAATTCCTTCACAAATGTGTTGATGGCTGGACATTGCATCATCCTAGAAACCTTGGAGGCCAGTGAGGACAAAAATAAAAAGTTATAAGACTTTTAAGAATGTGGATTTTTGGGTTATCTTTGGCGCCCCCTAGAACGTAAATCGTGGCGTGTAGCACCATGATTTGTACAACTTTTAATGGCCATGGGGTGTAGATTGGCCTGAGCAAATTTGGTGCCGGTGGAACGAAAGCTTTAGGAGGAGTTAGCGAAATTCCAATGTGTGCGGATCGGCAAAAAATGCGAAATAGCCCTTTAACCGTACATTTGTCAGATACGCCCGCATTAATTTTTTTGTAGATCTTATTGAGATACACGTGTGTGTCAGATTTTGTGTCATTTTGACAAAGCGTACAGGTGTGACACTCAATCATGTGAATTTTTCACCTTAGGGGGCGCTATAGAGCCATTTTGCATTTGATTGTTTGGGCGACTTCAGAATATCGAATATTTCACCAGGCCCGGTCGTCCTGCCAAATTTCATGAGTTTTCACCAATGGGAAGTGGGCCATGCCCCCCCCCCCATGGCAGGAGAAAAAAGTCCATTTTTTTCTTGTCCACTAAGGTGAAAATACACATTGTTGAGTGCTACGCCTGTATGTTTTGTCAAAATGACACAAAATTCGACACACACGTGTATCTCAATAAGATCTACAAAAAAGTCAATGCGGGCGTATCTGTCAAATGTACGGTTAAAGGGCTATTTCGCATTTTTTGCCGATTCGCACACATTGGAATGTGGCTAACTCCTCCTAAGGCTTTCGTCCCACTGACACCAAATTTGCTCAGGCCAATCTACACCCCATGGCTATTCAAAGTTGTAAAAATCATGACGCTGCACCCCACGGTTTACGCTCTAGGGGGCGCCTAGAGCACAACCTCACCTGTGTGAATTTACAGTTATTTTATCAAAATCATTTTGTCAAAATGACACAAAATTCAACACACACGTGTATCTCAATAAGATCTACGAAAAAGTAAATGCAGGCATATCTGTCAAATGTACGGTTAAAGGGCTATTTCGCATTTTTTGCCGATTCGCACACATTGGAATGTAGCTAACTCCTCCGAAGGCTTTCGCTCCACCGGCACCAAATTTGCTCAGGCCAATCTACACCCCATGGCCATTCAAAGTTGTAAAAATCATGATGCTGCACCCCACGGTTTAAGTTCTAGGGGGCGCCAAAGATGACCCAAATATCCATATTCTTAAAAGTGTTATAACATTTTATTTTTGTCCTCACTGGCCTCCATGTTTTCTAGGATGATGCAATGTCCAGCCATCAACACATTTGTGAAGGAGTTTTTTCTCGTTAAAAGAGCGCCCCCCATGGCAGGAGAATAAAGTCAAGTTTTTCCTGTTCATCGTTCAATGGCTCAAACGCATCGCTCTCTCGGCAAAAGCGAAAGGAGGAGCAACTTGCCATTTGGATATATCTTAGCTGTGTTTGTGCCCTCACTCATGGTCCAGACTTTTTTCAAATAGGACATGGAGTTTTTCTGCAGCGAGCGTTTTGGTAGAAACTGCGCCTCCCATTCATTATAATGGTAAATGACCACAGACAAGTGCGCACACCATCTTTGGACCTTGAGTGTGACGCGATTGGGGGGGGGAGGCGGTCGCGCTGGGGGCGGCGCGACACGGCTCGGGCCCGCCAGTGCCCCACCGGGGCCCTAGTTATTATTTTTCCTCCGCTTTAAACTGGAAAATGGCCCACTTCCCACTGGCAAAAACTCATGAAATTAGGCAGGACGACCGGGCCTGGTGAAAAATTCGATATTCTGAAGTCGCCCAAACAATAAAATGCAAAATGGCTCCATAGCGCCCCCTAAGGTGAAAATTCACACTATTGATTGTCACGCCTTAACGCTTTGTCATATTGACACAAAAATTGACACACACATGTATCTCAATAAGATCTACAAAAAAGTCAGTGCGGGCGTATCTGTCAAATGTACGGTTAAAGGGTTTTTTCGCATTTTTTGCCGATCCGCACACATTGGAATTTCGCTAACTCCTCCGAAGGCTTTCGTTCCACCGGCACCACATTTGCTCAGGCCAATCTACACCCCATGGCCATTAAAAGTTGTACAAATCATGACGCTGCACCCCACGGTTTACGTTCTAGGGGGCGCCAAAGATAACCCAAAAATCCACAGTCTTAAAAGTCTTATAACTTTTTATTTTTGTCCTCACTGGCCTCCAAGTTTTCTAGGATGATGCAATGTCCAGCCATCAACACATTTGTGAAGGAATTTTTACTCCCCAAAAGAGCGCCCCCCATGGCAGGAGAAAAAAGTCCATTTTTTCTTGTCCCATAAGGTGAAAATACACATTGTTGAGTGTCACGCCTGTACGCTTTGTCATATTGAAACAAAATTTGACAATCACGTGTATCTCAATAAGATCTACGAAAAAGTCAATGCGCACGTATCTGTAAAATGTACGGTTTAAGGGCTATTACGCATTTTTGATCGATTCGCACACATTGGAATGTGGCTAACTCCTCCTAAAGCTTTCGTTCCACCGGCACCACATTTGCTCAGGCCAATCTACACCCCATGGCCATTAAAAGTTGTACAAATCATGACGCTGCACCCCACGGTTTACGTTCTAGGGGGCGCCAAAGGTAACCCAAAAATCCACATTCTTAAAAGTCTTATAACTTTTCATTTTTGTCCTCACTGGCTTCCAAGTTTTCTAGGATGATGCAATGTCCAGCCATCAACACATTTGTGAAGGAATTTTTACTCCCCAAAAGAGCACCCCCCCCCCATGGCAGGAGAAAAAGTCAAGTTTTTCCTGCCCATCGCTCAATGGCTCAAACACATGTCATGTGTTCAAACTCCTCCGAAAGGAGGAGCAACTTGCCATTTGGATATATCCTAGCTGTGTTTGTGCCCTCACTCATGGATCAGACTTTTTTCAAATAGGACATGTAGTTTGTCTGCAGCGAGTGTTTTGGTAGAAACTGCGCCTCCCATTCATTATAATGGGAAATGACCACAGACAAGTGCGCACACCATCTTTGGACCTTGAGAGTGACGCGATCGGGAGGGGGAGGAGGTCGCGCTGGGGGCGGCGCAACGCGGCTCGGGCCCGACAGTGCCCCACCGGGGCCCTAGTTCTTCTTATTTTTCCTCCCCTTTGAAGGGGAAAATGGCCCACTTCCCACTGGCGAAAACTCATGAAATTTGGCAGGACGACCGGGCCTGGTGAAAAATTCGATATTCTGAAGTCGCCCAAACAATAAAATGCAAAATGGCTCCATAGCGCCCCCTAAGGTGAAAATTTACACTATTGACTGTCACGCCTGTACGCTTTGTCATATTGACACAAAATTTGACACACACATGTATCTCAATAAGATCTACAAAAAAATCAGTGCGGGCGTATCTATCAAATGTACGGTTAAAGGGTTATTTCGCATTTTTTGCCGATCCGCACACATTGGAATTTCGCTAACTCCTCCGAAGGCTTTCGTTCCACCGGCACCACATTTGCTCAGGCCAATCTACACCCCATGGCCATGAAAAGTTGTACAAATCATGACGCTGCACCCCACGGTTTACGTTCTAGGGGGCGCCAAAGATAACCCAAAAATCCACAGTCTTAAAAGTCTTATAACTTTTTATTTTTGTCCTCACTGGCCTCCAAGTTTTCTAGGATGATGCAATGTCCAGCCATCAACACATTTGTGAAGGAATTTTTACTCCCCAAAAGAGCGCCCCCCCATTGCAGGAGAAAAAAGTCCATTTTCTCTTGTCCCATAAGGTGAAAATACACATTGTTGAGTGTCACGCCTGTACGCTTTGTCATATTGAAACAAAATTTGACAATCACGTGTATCTCAATAAGATCTACGAAAAAGTCAATGCGCACGTATCTGTAAAATGTACGGTTTAAGGGCTATTACGCAGTTTTGATCGATTCGCACACATTGGAATGTGGCTAACTCCTCCTAAAGCTTTCGTTCCACCGGCACCACATTTGCTCAGGCCAATCTACACCCCATGGCCATTAAAAGTTGTACAAATCATGACGCTGCACCCCACGGTTTACGTTCTAGGGGGCGCCAAAGGTAACCCAAAAATCCACATTCTTAAAAGTCTTATAACTTTTCATTTTTGTCCTCACTGGCTTCCAAGTTTTCTAGGATGATGCAATGTCCAGCCATCAACACATTTGTGAAGGAATTTTTACTCCCCAAAAGAGCGCCCCCCCCCCCCCCCCCCATGGCAGGAGAAAAAGTCAAGTTTTTCCTGCCCATCGCTCAGTGGCTCAAACACATGTCATGTGTTCAAACTCCTCCGAAAGGAGGAGCAACTTGCCATTTGGATATATCCTAGCTGTGTTTGTGCCCTCACTCATGGATCAGACTTTTTTCAAATAGGACATGTAGTTTGTCTGCAGCGAGTGTTTTGGTAGAAACTGCGCCTCCCATTCATTATAATGGGAAATGACCACAGACAAGTGCGCACACCATCTTTGGACCTTGAGAGTGACGCGATCGGGAGGGGGAGGCGGTCGCGCTGGGGGCGGCGCAACGCGGCTCGGGCCCGACAGTGCCCCACCGGGGCCCTAGTTCTTCTTATTTTTCCTCCCCTTTGAAGGGGAAAATGGCCCACTTCCCACTGGCGAAAACTCATGAAATTTGGCAGGACGACCGGGCCTGGTGAAAAATTCGATATTCTGAAGTCGCCCAAACAATAAAATGCAAAATGGCTCCATAGCGCCCCCTAAGGTGAAAATTTACACTATTGACTGTCACGCCTGTACGCTTTGTCATATTGACACAAAATTTGACACACACATGTATCTCAATAAGATCTACAAAAAAATCAGTGCGGGCGTATCTATCAAATGTACGGTTAAAGGGTTATTTCGCATTTTTTGCCGATCCGCACACATTGGAATTTCGCTAACTCCTCCGAAGGCTTTCGTTCCACCGGCACCACATTTGCTCAGGCCAATCTACACCCCATGGCCATTAAAAGTTGTACAAATCATGACGCTGCACCCCACGGTTTACGTTCTAGGGGGCGCCAAAGATAACCCAAAAATCCACAGTCTTAAAAGTCTTATAACTTTTTATTTTTGTCCTCACTGGCCTCCAAGTTTTCTAGGATGATGCAATGTCCAGCCATCAACACATTTGTGAAGGAATTTTTACTCCCCAAAAGAGCGCCCCCCATGGCAGGAGAAAAAAGTCCATTTTTTCTTGTCCCATAAGGTGAAAATACACATTGTTGAGTGTCACGCCTGTACGCTTTGTCATATTGAAACAAAATTTGACAATCACGTGTATCTCAATAAGATCTACGAAAAAGTCAATGCGCACGTATCTGTAAAATGTACGGTTTAAGGGCTATTACGCATTTTTGATCGATTCGCACACATTGGAATGTGGCTAACTCCTCCTAAAGCTTTCGTTCCACCGGCACCACATTTGCTCAGGCCAATCTACACCCCATGGCCATTAAAAGTTGTACAAATCATGACGCTGCACCCCACGGTTTACGTTCTAGGGGGCGCCAAAGGTAACCCAAAAATCCACATTCTTAAAAGTCTTATAACTTTTCATTTTTGTCCTCACTGGCTTCCAAGTTTTCTAGGATGATGCAATGTCCAGCCATCAACACATTTGTGAAGGAATTTTTACTCCCCAAAAGAGCACCCCCCCCCCATGGCAGGAGAAAAAGTCAAGTTTTTCCTGCCCATCGCTCAATGGCTCAAACACATGTCATGTGTTCAAACTCCTCCGAAAGGAGGAGCAACTTGCCATTTGGATATATCCTAGCTGTGTTTGTGCCCTCACTCATGGATCAGACTTTTTTCAAATAGGACATGTAGTTTGTCTGCAGCGAGTGTTTTGGTAGAAACTGCGCCTCCCATTCATTATAATGGGAAATGACCACAGACAAGTGCGCACACCATCTTTGGACCTTGAGAGTGACGCGATCGGGAGGGGGAGGCGGTCGCGCTGGGGGCGGCGCAACGCGGCTCGGGCCCGACAGTGCCCCACCGGGGCCCTAGTTCTTCTTATTTTTCCTCCCCTTTGAAGGGGAAAATGGCCCACTTCCCACTGGCGAAAACTCATGAAATTTGGCAGGACGACCGGGCCTGGTGAAAAATTCGATATTCTGAAGTCGCCCAAACAATAAAATGCAAAATGGCTCCATAGCGCCCCCTAAGGTGAAAATTTACACTATTGACTGTCACGCCTGTACGCTTTGTCATATTGACACAAAATTTGACACACACATGTATCTCAATAAGATCTACAAAAAAATCAGTGCGGGCGTATCTATCAAATGTACGGTTAAAGGGTTATTTCACATTTTTTGCCGATCCGCACACATTGGAATTTCGCTAACTCCTCCGAAGGCTTTCGTTCCACCGGCACCACATTTGCTCAGGCCAATCTACACCCCATGGCCATTAAAAGTTGTACAAATCATGACGCTGCACCCCACGGTTTACGTTCTAGGGGGCGCCAAAGATAACCCAAAAATCCACAGTCTTAAAAGTCTTATAACTTTTTATTTTTGTCCTCACTGGCCTCCAAGTTCTCTAGGATGATGCAATGTCCAGCAATTAACACATTTGTGAAGGAATTTTTACTCGCCAAAAGAGCGCCCCCCCATGGCAGGAGAAAAAAGTCCATTTTTTCTTGTCCCATAAGGCGAAAATACACATTGTTGAGTGTCACGCCTGTACGCTTTGTCATATTGACACAAAATTTGACAATCACGTGTATCTCAATAAGATCTACGAAAAAGTCAATGCGCGCGTATCTGTCAAATGTACGGTTAAAGGTCGATTTCGCATTTTTTGCCAATTCGCACACATTGGAATTTCGCTAACTCCTCCGAAAGCTTTCGTCCCATCAGCACCACATTTGCTCAGGCCAATCTACACCCCATGGCCATTCAAAGTTGTAAAAATCATGATGCTGCACCCCACGGTTTACGTTCTAGTGGGCGCCAAAGATAACCCAAAAATCCACATTTTCAAAAGTCTTATAACTTTTTATTTTTGTCCTCACTGGCCTCCAAGTTTTCTAGGATAATGCAATGTTCAGCCATCAACACAATTGTGAAGGAATTTTTACTCCCCAAAAGAGCGCCCCCCCCATGGCCGGAGAAAAAGTCAAGTTGTTCCTGCCCATCGCTCAATGGCTTAAACGCATCGCTCTCTCGGCAAAACCGAAAGGAGGAGCAACTTGCCATTTGGATATATCTTAGCTGTGTTTGTGCCTTCACTCATTTTCCAGACTTTTTTCAAATAGGACATGGAGTTTGTCTGCAGCGAGCGTTTTGGTAGAAACTGCGCCTCCCATTCATTATAATAGTAAATAACCACAGACAAGTGCGCACACCATCTTTGGACCTTGAGTGTGACGCGATCGGGAGGGGTAGGCGGTCGCGCTGGGGGCGGCGCGACACGGCTCGGGCCCGCCAGTGCCCCAACGGGGCCCTAGTTTCTTCTTTTTCCTCCCCTTTGAACTGGAAAATGGCCCACTTCCCACTGGCGAAAACTCATGAAATTTGGCAGGACGACCGGGCCTGGTGAAAAATTTGATATTCCGAAGTCGCCCAAACAAGAAAATGCAAAATGGCTCCATAGCGCCCCCTAAGGTGAAAATTCACACTATTGACTGTCACGCCTGTACGCTTTGTCAAAATGACACAAAAATTGACACACACATGTATCTCAATAAGATCCACGAAAAAGTCAATGCGCGCGTATCTGTCAAATGTACAGTTAAAGGGTTATTCCGCATTTTTTGCCAATCCGCACACATTGGAATGTTGCTAACTCCTCCTAAGGCTTTCGTTCCACTGGCATCACATTTGCTCAGGCCAATCTACACCCCATGGCCATTAAAAGTTATTCAAATCATGACGCTGCACCCCACGGTTTAGGTTCTAGGGGGCGCCAAAGATAACCCTAAAATCCACATATTTAAAAGTCTTATAACTTTTTATTTTTTCCCTCACTGGCCTCCAAGTTTTCTAGGATGATGCAATGTCCAGCCATCAATACATTTGTGAAGGAATTTTTACTCCCCAAAAGAGCGCCCCCCCCCCCCATGGCAGGAGAAAAAAGTCCATTTTTTCTTGTCCCCTAAGGTGAAAATACACATTGTTGAGTGTCACGCCTGTACGCTTTGTCATATTGACACAAAATATGACAATCACGTGTATCTCAATAAAATCTACGAAAAAGTCAATGCGCACGTATCTGTAAAATGTACGGTTAAAGGACTATTTCGCATTTTTTGCCGATTCGCACACATTGGAATGTGGCTAACTCCTCCTAAGGCTTTCATCCCACTGACATCACATTTGCTCAGGCCAATCTACACCCTATGGCCATTAAAAGTTATTCAAATCATGACGCTGCACCCCACGGTTTAGGTTCTAGGGGGCGCCAAAGATAACCCTAAAATCCACATATTTAAAAGTCTTATAACTTTTTATTTTTTCCCTCACTGGCCTCCAAGTTTTCTAGGATGATGCAATGTCCAGCCATCAATACATTTGTGAAGGAATTTTTACTCCCCAAAAGAGCGCCCCCCCATGGCAGGAGAAAAAAGTCCATTTTTTCTTGTCCCCTAAGGTGAAAATACACATTGGTGAGTGTCACGCCTGTACGCTTTGTCATATTGACACAAAATTTGACAATCACGTGTATATTAAAAAGATCTACGAAAGAGTCAACGCACGCGTATCTGTCAAATGTACGGTTAAAGGGCTATTTTGCATTTTTTGCCGATCCGCACACATTGGAATTTCGCTAACTCCTCCTAAAGCCTTCGTCCCATCGGCACCAAATTTGCTCAGGCCAATCCACACCCTATGGCCATTCAAAGATGTAAAAATCATGACGCTGCACCCCACGGTTTACGTTCTAGGGGGCGCCAAAGATAACCCAAAAATCCACATTTTCAAAAGTCTTATAACTTTTTATTTTTGTCCTCACTGGCCTCCAAGTTTTCTAGGATGATGCAATGTCCAGCCATCAACACAATTGTGAAGGAATTTTTACTCCCCAAAAGAGCGCCCCCCCATGGCCGGAGAAAAAGTCAAGTTTTTCCTGCCCATCGCTCAATGGCTTAAACGCATCGCTCTCTCGGCAAAACCGAAAGGAGGAGCAACTTGCCATTTGGAGATATCCTAGCTGTGTTTGTGCCCTCACTCATGGTCCAGACTTTTTTCAAATAAGACATGGAGTTTTTCTGCAGCGAGCGTTTTGGTAGAAACTGCGCCTCCCATTCATTATAATGGTAAATGACCACAGACAAGTGCGCACACCATCTCTGGACCTTGAGTGTGCCGCGATCGGAAGGAGGGGGCCGTCGCGATGGGGGCGGCACAACATGGCTCGGCCCGCCAGTGCCCCACCGGGGCCCTAGTTAGGGCCCGAGCGTAGCTGCTAAGCAGCCGCGAGAGCCCTCTTGTTCCTGAAGGATTCTTCTTTCTTAGGGCCCGAGCGTAGCTGCTAAGCAGCTGCGAGAGCCCTCTTGTTCCTTCATAGTCGAAAAATCTTCTTTCTTCTTTTTCCTCCCCTTTGAACTGGAAAATGGCCCACTTCCCACTGGCGAATGCTCATGAAATTTGGCAGGACGACCGGGCCTGGTGAAAAATTCGATATTCTGAAGTCGCCCAAACAATAAAATGCAAAATGGCTCCATAGCGCCCCCTAAGGTGAAAATTCACACTATTGACTGTCACGCCTGTACGCTTTGTCATATTGACACAAAAATTGACACACACATGTACCTCAATAGGATCTACAAAAAAGTCAGTGCGGGCGTATCTGTCAAATGTACGGTTAAAGGGTTATTTCGCATTTTTTGCCAATCCGCACACATTGGAATTTCGCTAACTCCTCCGAAGGCTTTCGTTCCACCGGCACCAAATTTGCTCAGGCCAATCTACACCCCATGGCCATTAAAAGTTGTACAAATCATGAAGCTGCACCCCACGGTTTAGGTTCTAGGGGGCGCCAAAGATAACCCAAAAATCCACAGTCTTATAACTTTTTATTTTTGTCCTCACTGGCCTCCAAGTTCTCTAGGATGATGCAATGTCCAGCCATCAACACATTTGTGAAGGAATTTTTACTCCCCAAAAGAGCGCCCCCCCATGGCAGGAGAAAAAAGTCCATTTTTTCTTGTCCCCTAAGGTGAAAATACACATTGTTGAGTGTCACGCCTGTACGCTTTGTCATATTGACACAAAATTTGACAATCACGTGTATCTCAATAAGAACTACGAAAAAGTCAATGCGCCCGTATCTGTAAAATGTACGGTTAAAGGGCTATTTTGCATTTTTTGCCGATTCGCACACATTGCAATGTGGCTAACTCCTCCTAGAGCTTTCATCCCACCGGCACTAAATTTTCTCAGGCCAATCTACACCCCATGGCCATTTAAAGTTGTACAAATCATGACGCTGCACCCCACGGTTTACGTTCTAGGGGGCGCCAAAGATGACCCAAATATCCACATTTCTAAAAGTCTTAACTTTTTATTTTTGTCCTCACTGGCCTCCAAGTTTTCTAGGATGATGCAATGTCCAGCCATCAACACATTTGTGAAGGAATTTTTACTCCCCAAAAGAGCGCCCCCCATGGCAGGAGAAAAAGTCAAAGTTTTTCCTGCCCATCGCTCAATAGCTCAAGCGCATCGCTCTCCCGCAAAAACCGAAAGGAGGAGCAACTTGCCATTTGGATATATACTAGCTGTGTTTGCGCCCTCACTCATGGTCCAGACTTTTTTCAAAAAGGACACGTAGTTTTTCTGCAGCGAGCGTTTAGGTAGAAACTGTGCCTCCCATTCATTATAATGGTAAATGACCACAGACAAGTGCCACACCATCTTTGGACCTTGAGTATGACAGGATCAGGAGGGGGAGGCAGTCGCGCTGGGGGCGGCGCGACACGGCTCGGGCCCGCCAGTGCCTCAACGGGGCCCTAGTTTTTAGGGCCCGAGCGTAGCTGCTAAGCAGCTGCGAGGCCCTGTTGTTCCTGTAGTGGTTTTTCTTTGTTTCTTTTTTCTTTTTCCTCCCCTTTGAACTGGAAAATGGCCCACTTCCCACTGGCGAAAACTCATGAAATTTGGCAGGACGACCGGGCCTGGTGAAAAATTTGATATTCTGAAGTCGCCCAAACAATAAAATGCAAAATGGCTCCATAGCGCCCCCTAAGATGAAAATTCACACTATTGACTGTCACGGCTGTACGCTTTGTCATATTGACACAAAGATTGACACACACATGTATCTCAATAAGATCTACAAAAAAGTCAGTGCGGGCGTATCTGTCAAATTTACGGTTAAAGGGTTATTTCGCATTTTTTGCTGATCCACACACATCGGAATTTCGCTAACTCCTCTGAAGACTTTTGTTCCATCGGCACAACATTTGCTCAGGTCAATCTACACCCCATGGCCATTAAAAGTTATTCAAATCATGACGCTGCACCCCACGGTTTAGGTTCTAGGGGGCGCCAAAGATAACCCTAAAATCCACATATTTAAAAGTCTTATAACTTTTTATTTTCGTCCTCGCTGGCCTCCAAGTTTTCTAGGATGATGCAATGTCCAGCCATCAACACATTTGTGAAGGAATTTTTACTCCCCAAAAGAGCGCCCCCCCCATGGCAGGAGAAAAAAGTCCATTTTTTCTTGTCCACTAAGGTGAAAATACACATTGTTGAGTGCTACGCCTGTATGTTTTGTCAAAATGACACAAAATTCGACACACACGTGTATCTCAATAAGATCTACAAAAAAGTCAATGCGGACGTATCTGTCAAATGTACGATTAAAGGGCTATTTCGCATTTTTTGCCGATCTGCACACATTGGAATTTCGCTAACTCCTCCTAAGGCTTTCGTTCCACCGGCACCAAATTTGCTCAGGCCAATCTACACCCCATGGCCATTAAAAGTTATTCAAATCATGATGCTGCACCCCACGGTTTACGTTCTAGGGGGCGCCAAAGATGACCCAAATATCCACATTCTTAAAAGAATCCACATCCCCCCCCCATCCCCCCCCCATCCCCCATCCCCCATGGCAGGAGAAACAGTCAAGTTTTTCCTGCCCATCACTCAATGGCTCAATCGCATTGCTCTCCCGGCAACACCGTAACGAGGAGCAACTTGCCGTTGGGATATATCCTAGCTGTGTTTGTGCCCTCACTCATGGTCCAGACTTTTTTCAAATAGGACATGTAATTTGTCTGCAGCGAGTGTTTTGGTAGAAACTGCGCCTCCCATTCATTATAATGGGAAATGACCACAGACAAGTGTGCACACCATCTTTGGACCTTGAGTGTGACGCGATCGGGAGGGGGAGGCGGTCGCGCTGGGGGCGGCGCAACGCGGCTCGGGCCCGACAGTGCCCCACCGGGGCCCTAGTTTATTTTTCCTCCCCTTTGAACTGGAAAATGGCCCACTTCCCACTGGCGAAAACTCATGAAATTTGGCAGGACGACCGGGCCTGGTGAAAAATTCGATATTCTGAAGTCGCCCAAACAATAAAATGCAAAATGGCTCCATAGCGCCCCCTAAGGTGAAAATTCACACTATTGACTGTCACGCCTGTACGCTTTGTCATATTGACACAAAATTTTACACACGTGTATCTCAATAAGGTCTACGCAAAAGTCAGCGCGGGCGTATCTGTAAAATGTACGGTTAAAGGGCTATTTCGCATTTTTTGCAGATCCGCACACATTGGAATTTCGCTAACTCCTCCGAAGGCTTTCGTTCCACCGGCACCAAATTTGCTCAGGCCAATCCACACCCCATGGCCATTAAAAGTTGTACAAATCATGATGCTGCACCCCACGGTTTAGGTTCTAGGGGGCGCCAAAGATAACCCAAAAATCCACATTCTTAAAAGTCTAATAACTTTTTATTTTTGTCCTCACTGGCCTCCAAGTTCTCTAGGATGATGCAATGTCCAGCCATCAACACATTTGTGAAGGAATTTTTACTCCCCAAAAGAGCGCCCCCCCCATGGCAGGAGAAAAAAGTCCATTTTTTCTTGTCCCCTAAGGTGAAAATACACATTGTTGAGTGTCACGCCTGTACGCTTTGTCATATTGACACAAAATTTGACAATCACGTGTATCTCAATAAAATCTACGAAAAAGTCAATGCGCACGTATCTGTAAAATGTACGGTTAAAGGACTATTTCGCATTTTTTGCCGATTCGCACACATTGGAATGTGGCTAACTCCTCCTAAGGCTTTCATCCCACTGACACCAAATTTGCTCAGGCCAATCTACACCCCATGGCCATTCAAAGATGTAAAAATCATGACGCTGCACCCCACGGTTTACGTTCTAGGGGGCGCCAAAGATGACACAAAAATCCACATTCTTAAAAGTCGTTTTGGCCACTGAGTGTTTTTTAGCACCTTTTAGCACCTGCAAAAACATGCTATTTACATATTTGACAAGAATGCAGAGGCTTCCTTTTGCCCCTGAAAAAAATCAAATTTCAAACACAACTTGACTGCTCATTTCTCCAAAAGACAACCATGAAGCTCCATCCAAACCTGAAGCAGGCAGTTGGTGCATGTGTACAGTAACCTGAGGGGAGTGAGGTGACTGCTTCTGAGGAGAACATGAGCAGTGAAGATTCACCTTGGAGCTAGAACAGGGACGTGCACATGATTATACAGGGGCAGGGGCTCAAGTCTTTTCCAGTCGTTTATACAATATGGAAATTAATGTGAAATTAAAAACAAAGTATTAATAGAAAGGTAATGACTGTCCTGTGTAGGTGACAGTGATATCCAATAGGCTAGGCACTCACGAGGCTGGCTGTGGCAAGTGTAAGTGAAAGCAACACGCACTGGCAGGAAGAACAGCAAACACCGATGAAGGAAAAGGGTCTTTGCAGTGATGGGCGTCACCAGAGAGGGCGACAGCCAGAGGACGTGAATGGGACAGAATGCGCTGGGGGCGGCACGACGCGGCTCGGGCCTGCCAGTGCCCCAACGGGGCACTAGTTTTACCTTGTTTCCTATAATGTGTCATGTTTGAGTTGCAGAGGAGCTGAAAGCATAGTGTTCGTAGGTAGCCCATTAGCATTAACACTGGGGCCCGTTTTAACAAATTATGCTAAGTGTCTGTAACAAAAGTGTTTCTTGTCAAAGGGGACGTGCTGTGTGTTGTAGCACCGCTAAACTGTTTACCTCAGGTCTTGGAGTATGTCACTTTATCCTAGTTGTAGAAGTCCCGCAAACATTGTGTTTGCTGGTAGTCTGTTAATATCTACAGTAGCACCAATCCTATTTACTTTCATGTTGACTGGGCCCCATTTCTAGTTATCTAAATTATTTATCTTTATCATATCTAAATTAAATTGGAAGCACCATTGTTGTTTCGAAAAAAAAAAAGCCTGCATAGTGGTGTTGTTGACTGATAAAGCAGCTTGGAAAGTTTACAAATCAAATAAATCAGTAAAACAGATATTTTAAACCGAGTAATATCTTAATACCACACTCTCCTTCTCTTCATTTCAGGTACCGCAAACTGTATAACAGAGAGTCCAGAGCATGGAGTTTGTGGGGCCTTTATGGTGTACGTTTTTTTTTAAATAGTAGTGTAATGAAAAAACACATGTATAAAACCGCATTTACATATAGATAAATAGCATTTTTAAAAAGCACTTCAATATTCTCCCAACACAAGAACTGGGAATCACTACTCTGAGCCCCTACGCTTCATAATGGCAGATCACAAACTGTCTATATGTAGCAAACCAGGACTACTAGTTACCCTCTCTAAGACCAGGGCTGTCTGCAATAGCTCCCAAGTTCCAGAACCTTCTAGCCAGCCTGTCCATCCATATTTGGTGGACACAGCTCATCCAGATTCAGTCTTTTAATACAGGCCTAGGAATGCAAAAATCAGAAAACCACAGTCTTATATTTAGAAATGGTTTTCTCTCATCTTATGTCTGTGAAATTATCACATTAGTCATGCATACCTGATCATCTGCCACTCTCCGTGCTTGATGCTCTCCACATGGGTAAGTTCCTCCAGTGCTAAAGCACAGGGACCTTGGTCTCTTTGTTGATCTCTCCCCCGGTCTCTGCCACGGCCCGGAGCCTAGGCTTTGCTGTCTGGCTTGTGGTGGCCTGCCTCTTGGACCTTCTCTAACCTTGCTGTGACTGGGGCTGGGGTGTATTCATCCTCACAGTCAGGACTATGTTCCTGAAAAAGTGCTAGATAGCATTGTATTGTTTTTAACTTGCCACAGTCTGCTTCTGTAAGCCTGTAGGCAGGAAAGCTAGCTGCTGTGGCTATACTGGCAAACTGGAGAGGGTCTCTCGCCCCCTGCACCTGTGGACGCATGAGCTCCAGGACAAGTCGCTCCAGGGTCTTCATCACGTGGGAGGTGAGGACGACTGGCTGGTAGTCGTTGAGCTCCGACGGGCGTCCCTTCTTAGGCACGGGAACGATGCAGGATGTCTTCCACAGGGAGGGAACCTTCCCTAAGCAAAGGCTGAGGTTGAAGACGTGCTGGAGAGGGGCTCCCAGTTCAGCAGCACAGGCACAGAGGAGTCTGGGGGGAGACCTGGTCCAGGCCAACCGCCTTCCTGGGACGCAGCTTCCTTAGTGCCGTCATCACCTGGTCAGCACTGATGAGTGGGGGGTTGGAGGTGTCGGATGAGGCAGGGGGTCCAGGTTGAGAGGGGGGAGAGGTGGGGGGAGGGGAGGAGGCATGGTGGTGGCTCAGAAGTTCAGGGGACTGGAGGGAGGCAAGGGGCTGGGAAGGGGAGCTGGCAGTGGGGGCAGGGGAGCTAAACCTGTTGAAGAAGGTGTCAAGTTCATCAGCTTGCTCCGCATTCATTCTCACTGCACTACTCCTCTTGTTGTACTCTGTGATGGCCTTCATCCCATTCCAGACCTCTCGCATCTGGTTGTTACTGAGCTGGTTCTCCAGCTTCTTCCTCTAGGCCTCCTTAGCCTTCCTCAGACAGAGTCTTAGGTCATGTTGAGCCTCCCTCATCTCCTCTTTGTCCTTGCTCATGAACGCCATCTTCTTCCTGTTCAGGACAGTCTTGACCTCCTTGGTCACCCAGGGTTTGTTATTGGTAAAGCATCTGACTGTCCAGAAGTTCAGGTAGTCTCCCCATGCGAGCCCACTATTACATCCCAGTCTGTTGTCTAGAAGCAGTCCCTGAGAGACTCCTCATCTTCAGGGGACCACCTCCTGACGTAATAGGCAGCCTCTTCACCAGGGGAATGTAGGTGGGCTTGAGTAGCACAAGGTTGTGGTCTGATCTTCCCAACGGGGGGAGCGGAGTGGCTACATATGCCTCCTTAGCATTGGTGTAGAACAAATCAATGGTTCTGTTCTGTCCTGGTGTCTTCCTGGTGTTCTTCCTGGCAGTCTACACACTGGTGGAGTGCTGGTAGTGTGGTACCCAGGGTGACGAGGTTGAAGTCTCCAGATATGATGAGCAGAGCCTCCGGGTGCTGGGTCTGAAGAGCCGAGGTGGTGGTGAAGATGGACTCCAGTGCAGTGTCTGGGTGTGCCCTCGGTGGAATGAAATGCCACAGTGCGGGTTGCACCACCCTGTGCTGCGCCGCTGGCGGGCACAAAAACAGAGCTCTCAGGCTCTCACTCTGACACCTCTTCACACAGAGATATTTTTTAGTGCCTCTGAAGTGTGTTGTGTTTACTTTCAATTCTCAATCAAAGTTTAGACTCTAATGTTCACAGAACTGGGTCGGATGTCTGTTTTAGTGTAAATGTTACCTTTTATGTCGATTTTAATCTGTTTTGGTGTCTCTGTCTGGACATTTAAATTTTGCGACCACTACCGAATCAAAGCTTTGCAGTGTAGCGGAGAAAGGCTCCGTACGGCCATGTCTGTAGTCATTTGAAAGGGGAGAAGCTACTGAATCGATTGGTATCAATCTTTCCAAATGACTACATTTCCCAGCTTTGAAAAAAGCCAGGCGTAAAGTGTTCGTAATCTGTGCGCTTTTAGGTGCAGCGCCCCACGGACGAAGGCAGGATGCTGCATCGCACACTGATCACTCAGGACTCTCCTGTAAACTTTCTCCACCACTTATAAAACTTCTCTTGAGTACTTTTCAACCAGGAAAAGAAACATTCAACTCTTAGAGGGATATGGCGGACATTTTATTAGAAATTCAGCGGGGCTCTGTCGGTGAATTCGAGGACTCGTCTGACTCAGTAATGGCGTCTGCTCCGAGGAGGAGGCATTGTTTACATTAGAAGTGGACCCAGTTTACTTATAAGTATTTGCATTTATCTATAAGGCCGTGTTGTGTAAATTGATATGCATGGAACACCTTTGTCATAAAACTTTAAACACTGTAGTAAGTATGGCAATCCTATAGCATTGAATATTACTGCAGTTTCACTATATCTGTTTATTTCAGGCTTACTTTGCTTGCAGATACTGCATTTTATCTGTCTTCGAATATATTCTTTATGAGAAAAAAAAATGAAGTACATATAAATGCAAACAAAATATAGTAGAGGTCATGGCTTCTCAATTTAGTGAATTAGTTTACATATATCCACAACTTTTGTGTCCTTCAGATGTTATTTATTTTTGTTCTGCATAGTAATTGATCACCATTTTCACAGCCACCAAGAAGAGTGGAGTGAGGCACATCCACCCCCACCCCCCATCAGGGCTTTTCACACCTTCAGTACTCCCTGCACCAGACGCCCCACCCCCACCCTTACCTGCAAGAAAGGTGACATTGCTTGTATGAAGGTTTGTGTACTGATCATTTGTTTGATTCTGGTCTCTAAAAGAAATAATACACTATTTACTGCTTCAATTATGCATTTATATGTATTCATTACATTTAATTTACTCTACCTGTGTTTGCTGTTGCTTTATATTGTTATATACTGTTTTTAATTTACAATAATTGTTGCACTTTTACTTTTTATTTAACATTGTTTGCTTGTTTCTCTTTTTGCACTTTATTCAAATAAAAATACTCCCTGTGAAGAAAGAAATGTAGAAGTTCCTGTTATTTTTCAGTATTCTGTATTACATATAAACAAATATATTGTGCAGAATGGTAGAAATTGATGAGGCAAAAGGTAAATTTCATATCTAAAAGCTCCAATAAGTAGTAGGAGACTAGTCTTATGGAAATAAATTGTAATTTGGAGCCAGTTCTCATCAGAGGTAGAAAATAATCCATTTGTCACATTTTGGCATAAAGTGTGCCAAATTGTGCCAAACTGAGTCCTCGCCTGGGTGTACCCTTACAAAAACCTTCATGTAGGCTTTACTGTTTGCCCGAATTCTATCAAATTTGGTACATTTGTGGTCAAGGAGTGGATGAAGTTAATCAATGGCATCTGGGGGCCTGGAATCATTGCCAGCACTGTGTTTTCCCCTGTCAAAAAAAGAAAACATTTTGGCAAGGGTAAAAAAACGTAATTTTTCCTCTGATTTATTCCAATTTACTCAGGCATAATGACAGATAAAACACTTCTGACACATTCTCTGAAGTCTCTAGATGTCCAAGGACACCAAGAACATGCATATAACCTTTAGTAAAGTGTAGTAATTCCTCATTTACTTTGGGTATGTCTTTTAGCCGTTTTTTTTCCTTAAAATATGCTTAGGGCCGAAGGGGGTATTGTGCACAATTACATCTGAAAAGAAGGGTGGAATATGACAGAGGAGAGAGCATGTAGGAGGATAAAGGAAATGGCGACATATCCTTCTTCAGTTTTATCAATATAAATACATTTTTTTCTCCTATATACTTTGAAGCACATTCTTTAGATCTGTGCTACCCTTGCATATATGTAGAAAGGTTGTAGACTGTTGAAAAAGCACCAGCAAAACAAAAGTTTAGCTTATAATACTTGGATCTGCAATCACAGAGCCCCTGACACGATCAGCTGCAATACACCTTATGTTTAACTTTTTTCAGACATTTCAGCTCTAGTAGCTCCTCTGTTGGCTCAGACCACCAAGACAAGCCCACGCTCCTCTTGCAGGGAGAACCTTGCATAATTTAGCAAGGTAATGCCACAGAATATTTGCATCTATAACAACAGCATATCTTCATGGTAGAAGAGTCCCAGTGATAAACTGCCCTGCCTGTGACAAAAAAAGATAAACCAGACAACAGTTGAGCAAATAAAAATTGTATATTGGAAGAGAAAGGCGGAACATTTAACTTCAACATGAAATAGACTGGTCTTCCCAGTTTACAGTGTGTTGTTTAAAGAAGAGGTGACGCATCAAAACATGCTCCAGCCCAGGGATGGGGATCACTAACTGGATATGTAAAATACCTAATCAAGCATCAGCCAGAACCCAAAGATCAATAATGTTTGAGCTTATCAAGTCTGCTATTGTGTCCCAATGGTCTTGTGAAGAATGGGCTTTGACTTAAGTTGTATCATGTTAATTAAATCAATGGACCGCATTAATTGACTGTCAAATCACATTCTAGAACCTGAGCTCAACCTAGTGGCAGCAAAGTCTGGTCTCTGTAAATTTTCTGCAATTTTTGCTTTATTTTTTCATATTTTATTGTGTTTTGTCAGCTGCTGATGGATATTTCTGCTGGGAGAATAGTTTACTCAAGAGAAGAGCTTCTTTCATTGAGACAGGAAATACCTGGACAACCACATCTAATCCCAGAGGACATCAGGAGGCGTTATAGGGGTTGCCATGCTGGAGCACAGGTATAGGCAAGGTTGAATGCTAGGACATAGAGATATAAACCCTTTTTTCAGCAGTCATCATGGGAGACATCAACTAAAGCAACACAATGGAGATATCGGTAAAGACTGAAAAAGTTTAACGTGAGTGCAGTCTCCAAATGAGTTTGTACAACTATTTCAAAATGAAAGTAGACAAAGGAAATCTCTCAAACATATGTAAATGATTGCAGAAGACCAATATTGTAGATAAAAAGATAAGAGAAAAGTTGGCAAATGATTTAGAAATCAATATCCCAGCTGATGAGTGGAGAGACAGCTTACAGTCTTAATACTGGACAGAGTTTGCATGGAAAGTAAGCATGAGGTACTTCATCTCTCCTTAGCAAATATTTTTTGCGCACAGACTCCAGCTGTTGGAAGGGATGTGGGAAACAGGAGGCAAGCTACACTCATATTTTATTTTTAACTGTCTGGCATTAGTAAGATTCTGGAGTGAGGTTGAGAAAGCCTGTACTGTTGTATTTGAGCTATATGAACATCTTAAGATAGAAACATTTTTGGGAATTAATGTAACAGAAAAAATTAACACAGCTGACATACATCTTTTTAATATTTTCTGAGTGACAGCTATTAAACAGGTGACAAGGACATGGAAACAAAAAAAACCCACCCAAACTCATTTTTTGGTTAACAACATTAGAGCAGACTTTAGAAGCTGAAAAATTAACATATGAAATAAGAGTTAATATAACAAAATTAAATAAGATGTACCCCAGAGAAAGACTTGGCAGACTGTATAATTTAAGGGGATTTCTACCTACAGAGCACAACTTTCTGGTCTTTCTAGCATAGTTAACACAACACAAGGTTAGGGTTCTCAGCCAAAAAGTTTCTCACCCACTGCAAGGAACTAAGTAAAAGATTGTGTTTTGTTAAATAAAGGGAGAAAAAAAACTTTGAGGATGTGAGGTGTAAAAAGATGTATACCTTAGGAATTTAGAGTAAACCCGAAAGATATGTGTAGCAGAGTGATGATAGTTTACCCCTGGCCTTGCAGGGACAACAAATGTGACCTTACTGTCAGAGTCAATTTAGTTTTTGGATGGAGGTTGCAGAGGAAGGAACGTAAAAGCTGGGAGAGAAAAAGCAGTAAAAGGAATAGGAGGAGGTGTGTGGAATTCATATTGCAGCAGCCCTATTTAGTTGACCTTGGTATGAAATGACAGAAACAAATTGTTTCTGATTCTCGCCTCTCCTCTCATCTGCTCTCCCTGTAAACCCCCCACCGCCAGATTCCCCTCCTCCTTTTTTTACCTTTCCATTTCTGCAACACTTATCTGACATAACTTAATTGTTAGTCATTTTAACAGAAGGCTTTCATTTTTTCCAGTTTCTCTCCTTCCCCTCCACCTTTTTTCCCCTTTAGAATCTGTTTCTCTTTCATTTTCCCTCCCCTTACCTTCACTGTCAGCCCTCTTATTCTGCCTTCATCTCCTCTGCTCCCCAACCCTTTCCTTCTTGTCATGTGCTTATAAACCCAGACAGTTCGGGCCTTGAGGCACTCCACATATTGACCTCATGGTGGTACTTTTTTATTGGATTAAGTAGTTGGTCCAATATTGCCAGGTTACAATCTGTATTTTGCCCACAATTGTACATGCATGGCTGTTCAAGTTTTGCAGCTAAAGTAGGATATAGCGAGTGTGGAAAATGCAAAGGTAACTGCTATTAATCCAATATAAATGTACAGCAAGATTGTGAGTTTTTTTCTAATAAATTTTTCAAACTTTTTTTTTTGGAAATCAAATGGTTTTGCTTTTAGTAGGACTAGTGCAAATGTAAAGCTGAAGCAATCTGTTTACCTTACGGTGTCTTTTGATGGCAGTTCAAACTGAATTAGTCAATGAAAATGTCTGCATTTTCCACTCCTCTCTATGTTTTTACTTCATTTTTATTTGTAGGCTCAATGGTGGTTATGGGACCCTCAGCCACCCACACCTTCTGATTGTCCTGCAGTTTCGCCTACTAATGGGGTGTCCAGGGCTTCAGCCATCTTGGTAAGTCTCTGATTCTCAGTATTTTCTGGTTGAAGTTACACTAAATCAGCTGATGCTTGTGTTTTTCCCTTCCTCCACCACCTGCTCCTACCTTACAACTACCACCACCATCACTGCCATCTTAGTCCTCGCCTGTGGTGCAGATGACATGGAAGAGAAACTGGAGAGGATGCTTCTCTAGGGGCCAGAGGTTAATGTCTCTTTTAAGGTGCATCCCCTTGGATAGGGATATGTCCTCCTTGTCCTTGTCTTGCCCCTCTTCCACTGATCTGTCAATATATACTATGTGATGTAAAATGTGAGGAAGGGTCAGCTGCCTCTGAGCTGTGGAATAGCTGTAATGACCCTGTTCCCAAAAAACCTGCACAGCATGAAGAACCAGTGCTCAGTGGCTCTACTCTGCACTGATTACTAGATCCTTTCCAAAGCCCCGGCAAGCAGATTGAAGAAGGTGATGAAGCAGCTCATACATCCCAGACCTACTGTGTACCTGGCAGGTTAGGTATAGACAACATATATATTAATTCATGAAGTTTTGGACCTCTCTAGCTCATTAGATGTAGATTTTGGTCTTATTTTCATAGACCAAGAACAGGCGTTTCATTGAGATAAACATTCATAACTGCAGAAAACATTAGCAGCGTTTTGGTTCAGCTCAGGTCTTATGGCTTAGATCCAAGCATTCTATAGAAACATTAATGGGAAAAACCCACAAGATCCGAAATGGCTCCGCTTCGGCACGGCACGGCAGGCGGATCAAATACACAAGCATTATAATCAATGTGTGTCATTCCACAGAATCTGTTCGCCATCCGGCTCCGCTGCGGATATGCAAGATATCAGATAAGCAAGGTTTCTACTTTTGCCAGACATCGGAGCACTGCGCATCAATTCAGAGCAGCGCAGCATGAGCAGCAGCAGAAGTTGTATGCAGCTACAGAGTAAAATTTCTGGTTAATTTTCAAAATAAAATAAAGTCAATACAATTGAAATGTTCTTAACTTGATAATAGGACAGGCCAGGGTTGTGGGATGCAGGTCTTTTCAAGCACCTTTCATGAGATCTTGTCCAGTCTGGTGAGAAATATCAGTAATCTTGCAGGCGCTTCTCCTCCGATGATGGCGGTGGATTGGATCCGGTGGGCACTGTAAGCTTGCGTATCTGATTTGCCTGCTGGTCCGGAGCAGAATGGAGCCGTTCCGGATCCAGTGGGATTCCCAGGTAAGAGTGTACTTGAAGTTAATAGTGGTTAAGGTGCTCCTTTTAAAGTAGGAAGGGGTGTCAAGGCAGGACTGTCTGTCAGGAATGCTCCACTCTCTGGCTATAGCACCCCTCCTTCACAGATTTAGACAAGGGGCTCTATTTTTGTGCTGTGCCGGAGACGTGCCGCAGGCGCGGCTAAAGTCAGGTCTGCCGTGCCGACAAGGCATTCCCAAGCACAATTTGGTATTTTTTTGAGCGTTGCAGCCCGGCGTACGTATCCCCACTCCTTAACTCAGCTCATTCCAGCGGCGTAAGTTGTAGTGAGGAAGGAGAGAGGGCGTTGAGTGGGTTTAACACAGCCGAGACCTGTATTGACCAATAACATCAGCTCCTCTCTCCTTACCTTTAAATCCGCCACTGGCGAGGTGTATTATAATTTTTGTGAAGTAGTCAAAGGGAAAAAGGGAAGTCTGAAGACAGTAATGCCACCTGATGGCGACAGAAGGCAGCCCCTCAACAGGTGTCACTGTCAACGCTGCAGAGGGTGTCCTTCACACTCTCTCATATCAGCACAGATGGATTTGGTGTGTTTAAGTTTGGACCCACTTGTAAGACAAACACCCTTTTCCACAAATAAAGACACTCACATAAAGTTGCATATATTCAAACCTCACGTGACAAAGGTGGGTTGTGCGCACAGATCACATTATAAACTCCAAAAATGGCAGTAAAATCGGAACCATCTGTGCATCGCGCTCCGTGGCCTGGCTCTTTCTTTCATAGATGTTGGCATATAAAACAAATTTGGCTCACAAAACTGAATATTATAATATTCTTATGTAGGCTTAACGTAAATAACTCATCTGATCACTGAAACAAATCATCTGTCAGGACGGGGAGAGGACACGGAGACATGTCCAGGTCGAGCTGCGCGAGAAATAAGAGGAAGAGGAAGAATAAAAAGGGAGGGAGACAATTTACATATCTTGTTAACTTCATTATGTGTGTCTACTTACTAGATATTAAATTTAATTTAATGCGGTTTCAGCTGTGTTGATTCGGTCAGGTTGAGTGTCCAAACGCGTGCCAAACAGGCTCATCAGAATCAGATATAGATCAGAATATATCTATATAGATCTAAACATATGTGCTGACTCAGATTATTAGTTGTTGATGATTATTTATTGCACTGAAATGTGCCTGACACTGCGAAAACCTTCCGGTGTGGCATCAGTGAGGTATGCCGATACGCCGCCGGTCTACCAAAATACCTCTAGACCAGCTGCGCTCCGCCTGCGCTGAAAGCTGACCAGGTGTGAATCGATGAGCTTTATACGCCACTGGCGAGCACGAAAATGTCACTGCGCCAGCTGATCCTGTCGACACCTCCCCCTGCCTCACCACCACGCCCAGCTCGGCGAATCTTGGTGCTCCTCAGTCCACGAAAATACCAAACTGGCTGTACGCTGGGCTCCGCCAGACAAAAATACCCCGCTCTGATTGGATCGCTGCTGTGAAGCCTGCTGTGCTCTGATTGGCTCAGCAGTGGAGGTTCAGATTTCGGTTTATCCATTTTGCTAATGTGTGCTAAAGTAAGGTGCCCAGATGTCTGTAATGATATCCGGTGCGGCGGCAGTGGGTGCAGGGGCTGCAGGGGCTGTGTGATCACAGACAAAATCTTGGTACTATTTAGTAGCAGCGCATGCCCCTTGTAATAACTCCCGTAAGAACTGTTGTTCAGGACTGCTTACTTGTGCTTCCTACCTATTCGGCTACTGTAATAACCGTTGTTCCAGCCCACACACAACATTTTTGCTCTCATTCATGAAACGCTTAAATCGGGGACATTTTCGGGGACAGCTTTTGCCGGGGACAGGTCATCCAATACGGGGACTGTCCCCGGAAATCGGGGACGTCTGGTCACCTTATGCTAAAGGCTAAAAATGGCAGGTATTAAACCATATATTTTAGGACCCGGAGTCCGAAGAGGAGGTGGAAGTTGAAGAAGAAGCCAGAGATCTCCAGCGGTGTTTTCTCATTCATTCTGCCCAGCTTTAAGTTCCTGGCAGTGAACCCAAGGAAACACCGGTCGTTTGGAAGAGACCCATGGCAGATACAGTGGTAGCTGGGCCTCGCTCTGGCTGGAGAGTGATGTTGACTGTAAATGAGTACGAGAACGAGAGAGTGGGCACGGCTCACCGAGGACGCGCTCGTGAATAATAATGAGCAAGGTCAGCGCGACGCCAGAGGGACCTGCTTTTTCAATTGGCCTGGTTTACCTGTTCCTTTATTTTAAACCTTTACAGAATGCAAATGACGTAACGGTTTGTTTTCACATTTACAACATAAGACGAACATAATATGGACCTTATCTGACACAAAAAACACACAAAATTACATTTTGATGGCAGGTCCCCTTTAAACTGTTTGACTATTTGCTCACGCAGTTGTTCACAAAGTGTTGAACCTCGTCCCATCCTTGCTTGTGAATTAATGAGAATTTTTGGGGAAGCTGCTTTTATACCCAATCATGGCACCCACCTGTTCCCAATTAGCCTGCTCACCTGTAAGATGTTCTAAATAGGTGTTTGATGAGCATTCCTCAAATTCTCAGTATTTTTTGCTACCTTTCCCAAATTCTTTGGCACGTGTTGCAGCCATGAAATTCTGAGTTAATTATTATTTGCAAAAAAAAAAAAAAAGTTCATAAGTTTGAACATTAAATATCTCGTCTTTGTAGTGTATTGAATTGAATATAGTTTGAAAAGGATTTGCAAATCATTGTATTCTGTTTTTATTTACATTTATCACAATTTCCCTACTTCAATGGAATTGGGTTTTGTATTTTTAATCTCTCCACTTTTCCGCGATATAAAAGAATGACAACTCGCGCTCTTATAGAGGGCGTGCTGCTTGCTGCTGTGTTGTTTCTGCCGACAGCGACACACAGAGAGGGGAGTTTTTTTAGAGCAGGGGAGTGATTCTTCCTTGGCGAATGAAAAACGTGTCACCCAGTGAGCGATGCTGTGACTTCAGCAGCAGCGAAGAGGAGGGGCGCGATTAATGAACAAACTCATAGCTGTGTCACTCACTCATGTACTGCACTGGCAGAACAGGGCTCTGAAGCACTGACTGATTCAGTGAACAAATCTTTTGAATGAATCGTTTTAATGAACTGATTCTAAAGATTCAGTACAGTCAAAAGAACTGTTCTTCCCATCGATAATGATAAATGATTTGATGCTAAATACATTTTTAAAGAACTGTAGGATCACATTAACACACATTGTCATTATGCTTTGAGTATCACTTTTCAAAGAACATCATGTTGAAGTACTCTGAAATGAAACAGATAGTAACACATATAAACTGTGAATTACACAAGGGTAAACACATGTAAATGAACTTCATAACCATTAATAATAGATTCTACAAACCAACAGATTCAGATTATTAAATAACAGTATAACTACCTAATAGTTAACAAAGCTAAAAAAAATGATTACTGCACATGTTAATTACTGACAGAAGATTGTTGTGCAGTGTCCATCCAACCTGTAATTGGACTAGCTGTAGCTATTCTCTTTGTGTTGTACTCAAAGAGAACACAACGATAAACCACATTTAGGATTTATGGCTGAGCTGATAAACTTGATGCTTCCCGGTCAAGGTGTGATGACAGATGTTTATCTGATCAAGTGGTCCTGTAGTTCTTTCTTGATGGCCATAAACAATGTCCCTGTCTCTTTGAAGTAAAAAGGATGGAAGGTTTGTCCTTTTGAGAAGGCATCTTTGGTTATCTTGCGAAGAGACAAGGGGTTGTAGAAGGATTGTGATTTAGTGTTAAAGGTTTACACCAGGTATGTCCAAACTATTCCACAAAGGGCCGGTGTGGCTGCAGGTTTTTCTTCCAACCAAGCAGCAACACACCCGACTTGATTCATTTCATCAGCTGATCTCAGTCTGCAGACAGCTGATTGGTCAGACTGCGTGCTCTTGAAGAAAAACCTGCAGCCACACTAGCCCTTTGTGGAATAGTTTGGACATGCCTGGTTTACACCATCTCATCTCAGGTGAGCAGATGTAAGCCTTACATTCTTTTGGGGGGTTGGGATGAGAAATTGGTCGTCTCTGCTTCATGTTAATGGCCCCATAACAACATATTGCAACCTTTTTTTTTTTTTTGCATTCATTGATAAACAGGGCACTAAATTTTACTTTCTGACAGTGATACAACAGATTGTGCCAGCACATAAGTTTTACCCCTCCGGTGCCGTGCACAAAAGTCTTCATTCATGGACTGAAAGTGTTTGAGGTGCTATTTCATCCACTAAATATCAGAATTGAAATGAAACTTTGCCACGAGATGTGTTTTTTTAAGAGTGGGCCAGGTGTGTAAGGAAAAGTTTATGTGCCCTTGCGTGAATGCATGGGTGCGAATCTGCGTCCATGTTTATAACCGGGCATGCTGTGAGCGGAGTTTTTACAGTCAAGGGTGTAACGTCCAAGTTCTGCAGTGTGGGACAAAGAGAGGGTGACATTTGGCTAATTTCAACTTTGCCCTCACTTCGGAGCAAGTCGATAGACATGCATGAAGATGCACAGGTCTTTCATATCATTAGGTGAGAATTTATCACATCTCAAATATGCAGTTTATTTTTATAAGCACGCAATCAGCGTAAACGCATATTTATAATGTCAAATTTTTGTTAGAGGTAGATAAGGACTTTGAATTAATTCCTATCTTACATATCTTCTGATTTTATATGCCAATATATCAAATCAATTTAATAAAAGCAAATAAATTTGCTCGCATTTGATTTATTAGAGGACAAGGCTTGAGAAAAGAAGGCAAACAAAAAACAAACATACAAAGGCTATTTCATCGAATTTTTTATCTATCATTTTTTTAAAGGTCAGGGCTGGAGTTTTTTTTAGAGATATGAGTCAAAAAAGTGAAAAAAATGTTAAAAAATGATTAATTATTCAACACTTACCTGCATGTCTGTTTTGGGGACAAAGCAGTATGGATGGAGCTAAAATACAGAAGTTGGCACAGCAAATAAATAAATAAATAAATGCACCAAAATTGATTTCACTACATATAATTGATATGGCCCAGACTTTATTTATGAGAGAAAAACTTTACATGGAAAATATGGCAATGTTGTGATTTTTACCAATAAAAAATAGCAATGACATGGTGTGAAACAGCTAGCATAAAAAGGGTGTAACATTGAATTTTTTATTTATTATTTTTTAATGGTCAGGGCTGAAGTTGCTAAAGAGAATTGAGTCAAAAAAAAGTTAAGCAAAAAAATTTTAAGAAACGATTTTTATCTGCATGTCTGTTTTGGGGAAAAAGTTGGCTGGATGGAGCTTGAAATTAACAGGAACCAAGGGTTAGATCTTAATAACAGAGGTGATTATTAAATAAAGTACATTATAGTATATTAAATACATTTTATATTTTCAGTGTAAAAAATGATCAGACCCTGGATATTTTTTACATGCTATCACACCCTTGGATATTTCAAAGATTAGTATCAACATTGGCTTTGATGCATTATTATAATTTGAGCAACATCCCTCAGTAATACACTTTTCCATCTTGACCATAAAAATATGCTCAGAATCAGATAAATGCACATGACCAATTATTACTAACTGGATGCAATGGAATGACAAGCTCGAATAAACAACCATTACAACAAACAATTGAACTGGACAATGATGTTTGTGTGTGTGTGTTCAGCTGCAGCAAGACCAGCAGTATGTTACCCAGTTCTTCTTGCGTGTATGTGCTCGACAGAGGGCACAGGTGCTAAGTGTCTTTTTTACCCCCCTGCACCTCAGGGTCTGGAGGGGCAGCTTCAGTCTGGATCTCCTTGACCAGTGCAGCAGCGACTGGTGCATAAGGGAGGTGTCTTCTCCAACATATGCTTGCAGATATCAGAGCATTTCCCAGCTCTTCCAGGAAAAGCCTCATTCTGAACTTTTCGGTCTGGTTCCAGGAGGGATCTTAAGTCGAGAAGATGACAAAAGCATGATATGCTTCAATTACATTGAAGAACAATGCTTGTGGCCACTGGTTGGTTCTTTTTGTGCTGTAGGTGCCAACAACCAGTATACTATATACTGTAGATATACTGTAGGTTACTGCTCTTCACGCCGACAGGAAGACCAACTGATCAAACTCTGACCAGAAAAGCGTTTCAGAAAAGCGAGTTTTGGCCGATTAGTCTCAAATGGGCTAAAATTAGCTGATTCAATCGGCTCGCCAATAAATCGGTCAGGCCCCGATCAAAACACAAAATTTATCTCCTAAATATATATTTTACAAGCAAAAAATAACATCTAGGGCCCTGTTGGGGCACTGGCGGCCCGAGCCGTGTCGCGCCGCCCCCCCCCCCCCAACGCGCTGCCTCCCCGTCCCATTCGCGTACTCTGGCCATCGCCCTCTCTGGTAACGCCCATCACTGCAAAGACCCTTTTCCTTCATCGGCGTTTGCTGTTCTTCCTGCCAGTGCGTGTTGCTTTCACTTACACTTGCCACAGCCAGCCTTGTGAGTGCCTACCCTATTGGATATCACTGTCATCTACACAGGACAGTCATTACCTTTCTATTAATACTTTGTTTTTTAATTTCACATTAATTTCCATATTGTATAAATGACTGGAAAAAACTTGAGCCCCTGCCCCTGTATAATCATGTGCACGTCCCTGTTCTAGCTCCAAGGTTAATCTTCACTGCTCATGTTCTCCTCAGAAGCACTCACCTCACTCCCCTCAGGTTACTGTACACATGCACCAACTGCCTGCTTCAGGTTTGGATGGAGCTTCATGGTTGTCTTTTGGAGAAATGAGCAGTCAAGTTGTGTTTGAAATTGGATTTTTTCAGGGGCAAAAGGAGCCTCTGCATTCTTGTCAAATATGTAAATAGCATGTTTTTGCAGGTGCTAAAAAAAAAACTCTGAGTGTTTGTGTGTGTGTGTGTGTGTGTATCCTGCAGTTCTCTGAGAAGCATATTTCTGAGGTGAATTTTGAAGATTCATCTGAGAGTTAGGAGGGCTGATCATTCCCTTACCCTTTAGATGTCTGTCTATGTCTGTTTTTGTGTGATAATGAAAGAATCCCAACTCAAAAAGGCTCTGTTGATGTTTTTTTTTGTTGTTCATTCATATTCAAACCACTA